ATACTCTACACACTCATGCAAACAAGATGACAAGTAATTACAATGAGATATTTCAGCATAACTTCCTAGAACTTATGCAATAAATAGTCAATAGCTCATCAAGACTACAGAAGACTTGAGTAATATAACATCTGAAAAATTTAAGTTTTCTAAAACTTTTTTCAGAAAACATGAAATATTGTATGCATGAGAGGGTGTCAGTCACAGATAAGCAATGCCTGAGTGACTGACTGTAGCTACCCTCATTGCAGAACCCTAGACAAATAAATATTGTTAACAATATGACCTATAGTGAATATAAGTCTCTAGTAATAGTGATACAGTATGGCTCAAGGCTTCAGATATGTAAAATTCTAAACTAACAACATCCCAAGGGCTAGGAGTTCCCTTTCTAGCATCCTGCTAAGAGTTAGTCCTTCAATTAGACCTTGTTTGGGATTTGAAATATACATGAAACAATTTGAAAACAAACCTCTATGTTAATACATTTTAAATTGATTATTTTATTTGGCAATTTTATAAATAGATATGATGTTTTCTAATTATTTTCCCTCCACTCTCTCATATCTCCCACCCATGAGGCCCCCTTCTCTATAAATATCTATTCTACAAACTTTTGTGAGTCACTGAGTTTAACCATGACCCAGGGCTTGAACTTTTCCCTTGGAGCCTGGAGCTTCAGCAGTGGGCAAATAACTGAAGGCAATGACATCCTCTCTGTGCCTGGAAGTCCTGCCTATGCCTCCTGCCTAGCTATTGGCTGTTCAGTTTTTTATTAAGCCATTCACAGCAATATACCTTCACACAGTGTACAAATATCCCACAACACCTACATAGTTTTGTTAGTAAATTTCACCAAATATTTGCAGAAGCAATAATGTGTACAAATCTTTACCTACAATTAGAGAAGATAAAATACTTATCCAGTCCCTTTCATGAATCCATCCTTGATACTGAAACTAAAGATTAAAAAAAAAAAAAACTATCAAGCTATATTTCTTTTCAAGACAATTTCAGTCATTTTCAACAAAATACTAGGAAATTAGTGTTCTAAGACATACTGATTTGGTGGCGTTTATCTTAGAAATACCATTGTTAGTCCAGTGTTAGAAAAACTTGAAATTTGCCACTTTTTATGACTAAATAAGACAATAACAAAATCATCTCAGATGAAATAAAGGACTTGAAAATACTCATCATCATCTCCTGACATTCTGAGAGACAAAGAATGGAGAAATTCTCTGTAAAGATAATCTTCAAATCTACAGTTCATTTCATTCTTAATGGTAAAATAATGATTGTGTCCTTCGCATGTCTCTCTGTTTTCACAAGTCTATGAGAGATGTTGACCAAAGTGACAATTGCAACTTAAAAAGAGAGACATGAAGATTATAAAGAATTAAAATAATCTCTACTTAGAGATGACATGTTCAACAGAATATAAATTCAAAGTACAAAGACCAAATATATTTTATACAGGTAGTGAATGATTTGAAATTTTAAAATGTATTTATAATAGCACTAAAATGTGGTTGGACATGGTGTCATGCACCTATAATTTCAGCATTTGGCAGGCAGAAGCAAAAGAATATCAAGGCAAGGGTAGTTTGGTATGTAAAGCAAGTTTTAGACAAACCAGGCATCCATAATGAGACCCTGCTTCAAAAACCAAACAGAAACAACAAAGATGTGAATCAGTGATTGATAAATATATTTACAATTTTTGTGTACACAAAAATATAAAATAAAAACCTAATAACACAATTACCTCTTTATGGTTTAGGAGAATCAATACTATCAGGTGTCTGTTCTGCAAGAAATTATGTATTGAGTTAGTTGGGTCCAAATCAAAATGTAAGTACTTTTAAAAACTGAAAAACTAATCCGAATATTTATTTGCAAATATCAACAGTTGGCCTAGAAGAACCTAAACAATATGAAAACACAAAATTGAAGGAATTACACAATAAGGCCCATTATAAAGCTGTAGTATTCAAAGTAACGTTAACTTCTAAAAATACGCATATAACTTAATGAAGAAGAGTAAAATATATAAATATATTCATTGTAGAATTGGTTCATTGACTCTTCTTTCTATGTTGAGGGTTGAAAACTAGGATCTTGCTCATGGTTAATAACATGTTCTACTACTCAGTTATACCCTGGGCCAGTTCATTTGGCTCAATATAGAATTGGCAAAGTTATAATGAAGAAAAGGGTAATCTCAACAAAGGGTCCTGAAACAACTGAATGTCCAGACAGAACATAGTAACAATAGCATGCCACAGACTTTACAGGATTTAACCAATGCTATTCGCTATACTCCACCATTTAGCGGTACTACCCTATTGCTGAAGACACCCCATGCTTGAATTAAAAGAGTGAAGAGATCAAGCTGGTACTCAATTGATATTTCATCCATATTGTCTAGCCTTCATAGTGCTGGAAGGTGCTGTACACATTACCAGAATAAAACAGTAATCAACCGTCTCATCTAGCTGTGAACCTTGAGAGCTGTAATAATGACCTACCTGCAAAATATACCCACAATAGTGACAGGACTGTTATGGGAGTAATCAACCACTTTTTGTTCAAATTTAAGGTCTACTCTCCCATATGGAACCCACACCTGACATTGTCAGTGAAGCCAACAAGGTGAAACAAAATAGGTCATATGACTTAGAGGAAAAATAGACCACTATTCTGCTCAATGGTTATAGTATTAAATGTCATCTAATGACATAGTGCTATATGGATATATCAGGACTTTGATCAACCTTGATCCGAGAAGCTTCTTTCAGTAGATGGTGATTAACACAGAGACCCACAGCTAGTCAGTGCAGGGAATTAAAGACTTTAGGATGCTCAACCCTAAATGTGATGTCTATGTTGTACCCCTCCCTTCAAGAATCAAGGATCTAAGTAAAAAGGGAGGTGGGAAGATAGTAAGGTCCACTGTGTCTACCAGACACAGCAGGTAAGTGTACATATGAATTCACAGAGACTGTGACAGCATACACAAGACCTGCATAAGCTCAAGCCAAACCAAATCCCAGCATAGAGGAGGAGAAGTGAGTCCCGAGTCCCACCCCTAGCCAAAAAGCAATTCGTAATTGACGGTTTCTAGAAGTGGGAGATCAGTTTTTTTTCAGTTGTTTGGAATGGTATATCAGTCACATTCCAGGACAGGCTCCATGGTCAGGGGTAGGTAGACGATCCAAATTTGTCTCCAAGGGTTGTGGTGCTCTTGTTTTAAAGAAAGAAAGAACTTGGACTTAGATGGGTAGGGATAGTCTGAGAAGACTGGGGGAGGTGAAAGGGTATCATAAAAGCACATTGCAGAGACTGTGGGAAAGCTCATCACAGGAGGATCGGTCAGTTGTTTTTTACCATGTTACACAGTTCAAAGGCTTTTTTATTTAACATGTAGACAGTATTCTGCCTGCATGTATGCCTGCAGGCAAGAAGAGGGCACCAGGTTCCACTGCAGATGGTTGTGAGCTACCATGAGATTGCTGGGAATTGAACTCATGACTTTTGAAAGAGTAGCCAATGTTCTTTAACTGCTAAGTGATCTCTCCAGCCCTCAGTTCAAAGGTTCTATCCAATTATATAAGTCATTCTTTTTAGGTCTTATATATATGTTTTTATTTATTCATTGAGAATTTTTCTTGTAGATCATAAATCTCTTCTATTTTGCAATCTTGATGACCTTATTAGATTATTTCCTTCTGAGTATCCTCACTATATGTGCATATTGATACTGTACTTCTGATATTCACTGAAAAAGTAGAAAAATTTGCCTATGCTTCATTTCAGCATGGTGGAAATTTATTTACTGAACTACAAGTAAAGAAAACAGTTTCTGAAAAATATGAATATTTTCCATTGTAGCAGGCAGCTAGAATTAAGTGGGGCTTTTAAAATTTTGTTTCATCTTTGTAATTTTCTAGTTTTTTTAATTTGCATGTTACTACTTTAAATTAAATATATTTTGCTCCTGAAATAAGTTGTAAAACTAAATATGCTATTTGTGTGCATGTGTCTCTGTGTGTGTGCATGTATATGTGTGTGTGCGTGCGTGTGTATGTGTGTGTTTAGACCAAAGGAAAACTATGGAGTCAACTCTTTCGTACTTTTGTGTAGTTTCTCAGGATTGAACTCTGGCCTCAGTCTTGCATTGCAAGTTCTTCTTCTGTTAAGGTATCTCACTAGCCCAAGAAGGCTATTTTATTATATTAGTTTATGGAAGATTTTTCAGGACTATGGATCTAAAATTATACTAAAATAAATACAGTTTACCAATATTTGGGTGAACAAAAGACACTTGAATGGGGTATAAATATGTATAGTGGATATATATGCATACATATGTACACACACATACACATATATACATACAATCAAATATACTGGTTGTTATCTGTCTGCTGATAACATAGTTAATATTTAGCATTTCAGTGATATAGTTGGAAAGATTCAGGATGACCTTTATGTATAGTCTTGGCTTGAGAGTATAATTATGAGACAAGATCAATAACCTATGTGTTTTTTTTTTCTTGGAAAATTTGAAATGTTTTATACTCCATAGCTTTCTGATGAATTTTCTCAAACATACCTTAGCCAAATTACAATTTGGATCACTCTACCAGTAAGGAAATAGCAACTGAACAATTAATATATTTCTGTAAAGCCCTTAAGTACTCTTGTCAGTATTAACGAACTAACTCAATTCATCTGAAATCACTGTTAGAGATGTCTAATCTAAATCTTCAAATATAAATTGAGGGTACTCATCAGTTGCTCGAGAGAAGCGTCATTCTAAAAAAAAAAAAAAAAAAAAAAAAAAAAAAAAAACCCTAGGTAATTGTCTCAGTAGTGTTTGTTGGACACTATCATCATTTTTACCTTCAAGCACCTAAACTATGCTGACCTGTGCATTTCTTGTGTAACCTTTTCTAGCCTGCCACCTTAGAAACGCAAACACTAATACCCTAGACACTGAGGAGCACGTGATCAGCAGCTGAAGGCAAGCAAGAAAAGCCAAACAGCAGTTATCCAGACCACACAAGAAATGGAACCAGAAACTCCGGAGAAGGAGGATTCTGCGCAGCAGAATGTTAGTGCCAAGTCACAGCCAGACGATGATGCAAATGATGCGAAAGACAAGGCTGACCCGCAAGGGAAAGAAGAAGCTTATCAGCTCCAGGTAGCTGAAGAGATGGCCAAGGAGATTAAGAAGAAAATAAGAAAGAAACTAAAAGAGCAGCTGACTTACTTTCCGTCGGATACTCTATTGCATGATGACAAACTGGGCAGTGAAAAGAGAAAGAAGAAGAAGAAAGTCCCCATCCCATCTAAACCAGAGCCAAGGTATTTCACATTGACAAGTAGGAGCACACTAGAATCTCCCAGTTTTGAGTGAAAATTGTAATTTAACAAAGAAAGTTAGTGCTGTGTTTGGAAATATTGCCTCTGAGATGATCTTTGTGAACCAACCTTTATGCAGTATATTGCTGTGCGCTAGACACTTTACAAGAATTCACTCGCTGAATTTCTACAGTGACCCTATGAGGGGCAGTAATGGCTTATCCCATTTCTCTACAAAGTTGCATGGTGTAAGCCCCAGAACCAGTAAGAACTGAGCTAGGACATCAGCAGTCTAGCTCCACACTGTCAGTCTGCATTTAGCCACTTAGACCTGCCTTTTAAATAACAGACCTGCTGAGCATGGTGGTCCCACATGTTACCCAGCACTTGGGCACTGCATAGTGGATTTGAGGCCTACCATAGCACCCTGTCTCAGAAAGTCCCTACATACACATACACACACACACACACACACACACACACACACACACACACACACACACACACACGAGAGTGACTTAGCTGGGCACCTCTGGCCTTCATGAGCTCTGATAAGCTTCAGTCAGGATGCTAGCCAGGCTGATGCCTTGACAGAGACAGGGAAAGATGTAACAAGTGACATCAAGTTCTTAGTAGGCCTTAGAAGAACTACTGTGCATAACCGTGAAGCTATAGGCAGGTTTCGGGTCCTGGGTGGCTTTTAGTCAGAGATACAAGTTCTTTGCCTCTTGGATCAATCTGTTGTGAACTCACCCTGGTGGTGACTTTCTTCCCCAGATCAAGGTTCCATGGCAGAGTAATAGCAAGACAGAAGTGAATCTTGTAAAAGCATCCATTTTCCCATATCCTTTTAGAACTGGATAATGAGGCCCAGCCGGTACTCATAGAGAAGGAGACTCTCAAAAGAATTGAATATGAAAAAAAGTAAAAGAAATAAACACAAACAAAAAAATTTTTAAAGGGGAAAAAAACAATTGAATAGGAAGAAGCAAAGATCAGCCAAGGCCATCATACAGGCTGCTGTCCATAATGTACTGTAAGACATTAGCATGTCAGTGTGGAAATGGAAGGACATTCTCACTAGAAAAGAGAGCTCATTTATGAAGTTTAACTCGCTATGCCACACATGACCATGACATGCATATATAATCGTTCTTTAAGAGTAGTATGAGTAGTATTTTGTGACTGATAAGATAGCATAGTTTTGGAGAATAACTACTATGGAGTATTTATCTAATCTTTTTATTTCCCAGTGTTCTTTTTCAAAATATAACTGAATATGTTAGAAGTTAATTTTTCATTATTTAAAGGCATAATTTTTACTTCATAAATTATGAACAGACTCTAATAGGCCAGTTTCTCTGTTCCTGGCTGCTACCTGTTGCTGTTTGCATGTGGTGCAAATTTTATTTGAATCAAGACTTCTAAAGAATGTAGTCGTATACCAGTGTCTAGAAAACAAAAGCAGTGAACTTTTATTAGAATTCAAAAGTTCTGTGTCTGAAGTTTCTTAAGAACAAACTGAAATTTTCTTTTGTGTTTTGAGTAATTTAGAAATTTATTCATTAATCATTTTGTCAGCAGCAGGATGAGATGCTTTGCAAGTCTGTGTAATACAGGTCTGTAATCATTTTATTTTATATTTATATAGTAATCATACTATTTCATTTCCTCTTTCTTTATTTGTATCACAGTTTGCTTCCGAGGCTAGCCTCAAATGTGCAGTCTTTATGCCTGATCTGCTTAGTGCTGAGAGTATTGCGTGGAGTGGATAGTTTTGTTTAAGTGGGCTCCTGAGATATGTAGCTCTTCATCAGGTAGAAAGTATTATGTATGATTCCTAGTTTGACAGCCATTTTATTATATAAGAAAATACCAAATGGTAACATTTTAAAAAAGAAAGTGATATATTATTCTTGATTCTGTTTACCATTCACTATGTTATACCATGAATAATAATTATAAAAATACTACATTTGTAATGACTCACTCTTGGGTTATACTTGCAGTGCATCAGATGTCTGTGATAATGCAGTTGAAGATGAACAAAAGAAAGAATGTCCCCTCGAAACTGATACTCCAGGATCTCATCATGATGAAGAAATATGCTCAACAGAACAGAATGCAGATGACAATAAACCAGATAACAGAAAACCCAAACCCAAAAAGACAAAAAAGAAGACTAAAGCTAAAGCAGGTTTGTTACTCAAATTACACAAAAACTATCTCTCTGCCTTTGTGGGGTAACTTGGCTCTAGAAAGTTGACTTCTAAAAGCTGAAGGATATAATTTAAAATAAGTCAAGGTACACTGGTTGGTGTATCTTAATTCATGTGGAGTAAAGTGTTCATTTTTTAATAACTGTGAGTCTGTATGATGAGTTTATAGCTCCTGACTTAATTTAACTATAGAAGGATATGATTACAAAGCTACAAGCTGCTTTGTGGCATAAAAAAATTTAATTTTTTAACCACTGACATTAGTACTGCAAATAGTTACCCTGGTAAATGAAAGTAAGCAATTGCTTTTTGTTCCCTTGAAATTGTTATTAGCAGAGTAAGACAATCATAGATGGTAAGATGAAATCTATGTAAACCTAACTATGAGAACAATTAAAATACTGATTTTTCTTCCCTGATTTAGTTCCAGATAATAGTGAAGAGATGAATGGTGATGGTGTTCATGAAGTGACAAGCCGGGACAGTCCAGTTTATCCCAAATGTTTGCTTGATGATGATCTTGTCATGGGAGTTTACATTCACCGAACTGATCGACTTAAATCAGATTTTATGATTTCTCACCCAATGGTAAAAATTCATGTGGTTGATGAGCATACTGGTCAGTATGTCAAGAAAGATGATAGGTAAGTTTTTAAAAAGTATGCCACTTTTAAGTTGATACTCTGTACTGTAGAAATCCTCTTTGCTGCCCTTTGTGGTTAAAAGTTGATAGGCACAGAACTGTGGGTTGGTAGTAAGTGTTGTTCATCTTGATCAGTAGCCTTTACAGAAGAAATAAAGGAAATGCATCTGTCTTGAGTACAGAGTCTTTAAAGCTTACTAGTCAGGTCATAAATTTGAATTGTAAATATTGTAAGTGTTCTTCTAATCTTTAGTCTCCCACTTTTCCTTTGAAATTGATGTTGTATGGACCCAAGGTGCTGGAATTGTGTATTGAATATGTTTTTCCCTAAGGTTATTTCTAGAGAGAATACATGTTTGAAAGTTTAGGTTTAAAAAACAATAAAATAAATCATTATTCTAGATTATACTAATTCAAAATAAGTATTTGCTTAAGAGGATATTGCAAGGAAAGCACTAAAATTATTGCAAAAACAAGAACACATTGACTTACTTAGTTGTGTTAATACATACAAAGAAAATAGGACAGTGCCAAAGAGTTCTTTTTACAGTTTTATTTGGGTTTATTTTGCATTTTATCATGAAGTAGTTGCTATATTTTAGCTCTGTATATTAAAGGTTACTCATATCTTTCATTTTCTATTTTTATAACAAATTATGTGGCCAAAGAGATAAAACATAATTCTAGATCATAGTGAGACACCATTACTTTTAATTTTTTTAATAAAATTTGTCATTTTTAGATGTTAAAGATCATTATTTTTGCTTTTGTTGTACTATAGCTATTTCTGCTTCTTCTATGGGCAATTATTTTTTTCCTTTTCTCTAAAAAATATAGTGAATTGTAGTAATAGAAACTTTATCTTTGAACAGTGAACGTCCTGTTTCATCTTATTATGAAAAAGACAATGTGGATTATATTCTTCCCATTATGACTCAACCATATGACTTTAAAAAGTTAAAATCAAGACTTCCAGAGTGGGAAGAACAAATTATATTCAATGAAAATTTTCCCTATTTGCTTCGAGAGTTTGATGAGTGTCCAAAAGTCATCCTGTTCTTTGAGGTATGAATTAAAGGGAAAAAAATTACATTTTAGTAAATATCTAAGCATACAAGTGTAAGTTATTGATTTTAATCATTTTATAATGTGAGAATTTAATATATGGAACTTATTGTTGCAGCATGCTCTGTGAGTGTCAGTGAGAAGCCCTTTGAGGAATAGGGATGGCATTTTTGCTAACTTCTTCCCAGTTCTAGGAGTTAAGTCATTTGGCCTGTTCTAGCATGTCATTTAATCTTTACATCAGGCCATTGATTATGAACGAAATGTCACCTATTTGACTGTAATTCCCCCATTGTGAATCCATCTCACAAAAACTAAGTCATTAACTATATTAGACTAGCTAAACAGAAGCATATAACCTAGAAAAGGGGACAAGCATGTAACACATAATAAAAAATGGCAAAGAATTTAAATGTGTCACGGAAGGTCAGAGCAGTCAGAAAGCTCTGTGGAACAGGCAGACTTTGAGCCGACTTGTTCTAATTTTGTTTTTTAACTGATAGGGATATCAGGTTGGGAGGAGAGTGATTTTCCTAAAAGTTACTCCAGCTGTCTGTATAGGTAATTTGTTTTTCACAATAACTCATAAGTATATCGTTCCTTTTTTCTAGCTTCTGTTCTCTTTACATAAAGAAATTGAAATAGAGAAAGCCTCCCATTCACTCTAACCAAGCTGGAAAATTTTAAGATGGGAATAGCAAGAAGCTTGAAGTGACCAGAGTTCATTATATAGAGTTGTTTTTGATACCTCTGTGACTATGTTATATGTGATTTATATAAAGCTGTGTTTTTTTTTTAAGGATATATCTCAAGGAACTTTCATAGATACCATTTGCTATTTACTGCTGTGTTGTTTGTATTTACTTTCAAAGATTAAAGTATGTACAGATCAGCTAGGAAGCCATTAAAATGATACTCATGTTTATATGTTGACATAAAAATAGACATGTACTTAAGAGTGCACAGAAAACGTTACATTTGCTTAAAGCAAGTGTTAGGGATGGGTGATGGTTCAGTGTGTTAAATGCTGTAGTATATACACGAATACCTCAGTTCAGCTTCCCAGGAACCACTTAAAAGTGAAGCATGGTGGTCTGTAGCTCTAGTCACAGCACTAAAGAGCAGAGAGACAGATGGATCCCCAAACTGTCTTCTCTAAAGATGTTATCTCAACTTGAGCTTTTTTTTTTTTTTTTTTTAATCAGATTTATTAGGTTCAAAGTGATATCCTCAAACAGGTACCTGGAATACTATCCGTGGCATATTGCCTACACATCCTTGATGTTTAATATTCAGGCAGGATAGATATATCAAGAAAATTTTGAGAGGCCTAATAGTAGCATATCCAAAAGGAAAATCCCTAACTTCAGTAACCTATCTAAATAAGGATTCAGAATTAAGATCCCAAATTTTAAAAGTAAAACATTAAATTATTAAATTAAAAACCCCATCTCTTCTGATCCCTAGGAAATTATCAAAGCTTGGGAATATTATGCTATGTTAATTTGTGTCTAGAATATTTTGAGATAATTTTTAAAAAGACAACCATGTATATTTATGGGCTAAAAATGAGACCTTTCAGTATTTTATACAATATATAGGAATCAAAACTGGGTTACCTGGTATAGTTATTATATCTAAGGTAGTTAATGCTTTGAAATAAAACCTAATAAAAAGGATTTATTAATATCAAAACTGAATCCCCAGTAGTTGGGTAAGTTAACTTTAAGGAAGTAAGTAAATAGGATAATATTTTTATTCTTTTTTAAGATGGACTTTTAAATATCTAGATTATAATGTATCAATAGAGAATATTACATTTAAACAGTTTAATCTGTGAAATAATTTTAAAAATATATTTACAGATTCTTGACTTTTTAAGCATGGATGAAATTAAGAATAACTCTGAGGTTCAAAACCAAGAATGTGGCTTTCGGAAAATTGCCTGGGCATTTCTTAAGGTATGCTTTCACGTGTGTTTTAAATATGTGGAAAGTAATCTCTTCTGAATTTGGTAGGCTGTTTTTCACCAAGTCATTTTGGTCTCAAAGAGTTGTTACCTCGTCTTAGTAAGGCTCATTAAAGTCTGAAATAGGGCTGGAGAGATGACTCAGTGGTTAAGAGCATGGTCTGTTCTTCCAAAGGACCAGGATTCAATTCCCATCACCCCCAAGGCAGCTCAGAACTTTTTGTAACTCCAGTTCCAGAGGATCTAACACCCTCACAAAGACATACATCAGGTCAAACATCAGTGCACATAAAACAGAGAGAGGAACAGGGAGAGGGAGAGAGAGAGAGAGAGAAAGAGAGAGAGAGGGAGGGAGGGAGGGAGAGAGAGAGAGACAGGGCTGTTACACAGAGAAACTGTCTCAAAAAAAAAAAAAGTCTGAAATACTTACTGATTACCCAGTGTGTACCTTTTATACTTTTTGATTCTGAGGATATTGTACTCAAAGACACATACATCCCAGCCATCTTGTGTTCAATTTACACGATATTTGTTCAGCCCTTTCAATGTGCCAGTCATTGTTCAGTCAGCAACCCTGAATTACTTGACCCCAAAACATGATCATTGGCTAGATGGGAGAATCTAAGTGATTATTAAGTTTGAAAGAGAACTGTAAATTATAATAATAATTTAAGCAAACAGCAGTTTATTAGTAACTGCTGATATTTATCTGTGTTTTGTTCAGATCTGCTGTATGAGCTATAAATCACTATTACAACACAATTTACCTGACCCCATAAAGGGTGTTAGATTATATGTGTTTCCCATTTGTAATACTAAGTGCCTTTTCCTTGATTGTACTGTAAGCTTTACAAAGTTATCAGTAATTTCTATTGAATCAATTCTTTGAGAATTTTAGTTTTTATTTTATATATGCTGTATGTGGTTGTGTTTCATTTATTATATATAATAATTCCCTTCGATTTTTCTCACGATCACCTTCTCTCAGCATATACAGCCACACAAAAGGCATAAATATCTACTGAAGAGTTTACTAAAATGAATGGAAAGTGATTGGGGTAATCTTAAACTTTAAGAAAAATGACATGAAACAAATTAGAATGTAAATGTCTCACTATGCAGTTAGATTCAGCTTGTGTAATGGTCCATTAACTCTATGTTAGTTTTCAATTATACCTTTGATCTCAGGTACTTACAGTTCTTCTAGAATGTATGACTATTTTGAGCCATATAATAATGAAGCCTGTGTGTTAGAGCCCTACATTATGCAATTCATAATTATGACATGCTCATTATGGAGTTCTTAGCATGATTTGTTTACTTTGCTAAGCAGCATGCTAGTATAAACTATATTGTCTGGAGAATATTAAAACAACTTTTGAAGTATGATTTTGGAGCTAGGTAACTCCTTAAAGTTACTGAAGTGCTATGGGAGATAATCGCAGGCCTCTGCAGAGTGTGGAGAAGAAGTCCTTAAAGACTGGATGTTATTACTCAGTTGGAAACTGTTCTTTCCGCCATTGAGAACAGCATCAATGCTAAGCTTGTCAATCCCATGGCCTTCCCATCCTTTCCCAAAGCTGTAGGGAAATGAGCTGCATTTTGCCATGTATGCTTCCTTGTTGTATGTCTTGAACATGTCACAGTCTGGATTTTGCCTGTGCCACTAAAACTTCTCCAACCCAACACTAATGTTTTCTGTTTGCCAACTGTTAACATTCCTCGTTTGTTATTTTGTCAAACATATATGCACTTATTTCATTAGTCTCTTGAAATCCCTGCTGCCTCTGCTTTCTTGGCAAGAGCCTTGTGTGTTTGTCTGTCTTGTTCCTTCAGTATCGTGCCCTACCTCTTTAAAGTAATTCCAACTCACAGTTTCTTCTTTAATTCACTTTTCTTAAGCCTGCTTTTGTTTCTTCTTGTTTGTATATGTGAATACTTACTGGACATTTCAGCTTAGAATATCCTACCAAATATCTTACTTCTCCTCCTGCCTCTTAGTTTTCTTTAGATGGTCTGCCCAGCTCATGAGTTTATAACCATAAGTAACATATAGCATGCTTATCTCAGATTAAGTGAAATGATCTCAGGTCCCTTGCATGGTTGTCCAGTCCCATTTAGTGACTTCAGAGTCTCTTGTGTAGCACAAATGTAGTGCACTCCAGTCCTCACAGGTCCTTGGGAGCAGCTCTGCACTGAGCCTTTTTCTTGGCTCTTTTCCTTTCTTTCCAAGTTGCATTAGCTGATAGCAGTTACTAAGTGTCCTGTACACAGTGCCTGTACCTGCAAACTATACACTGTACTGAAACACTAACTTTTTACTGTGATTCATAATTCACAACACACACAGTGCTTTCAAGGACATTTCCTATTAAGTCATTGTGTAATAAAAGAAAGCTTAATTTGAACTGCTGAGATTCTACTTTTTTCTCCCTAAGACTCTTCATTTTTCTGCTTATCTTGTTTTGTTTAATAGGTTTTTTAAATAGGCCTTTCAATGCTGAAAAATAAAGTGGATGATTTTAATTAACTTATCTTAAAATGACTCTGTGTATACCATTTTATTCATTGAAAATATTTATGTAGAAGCAGCCTTACAGACTACAGCCAGGATTTCTGAATCTTCTACTAATCCCCCATGACAGCGCCCATTACCAGCAGGAAGTAGTTTGGAAAGAACAACGTCCAAATTCCCAAATATTGTCTATAAATGTTTGTTTTCATTTAAATGGACTTTGTTATATAAAATAAATTTTAAAAAAATAAGAAAAAAAGAAAAGAAAATATTTATGTAGTCCTGTAGTCAGATAATAGGGAGCCCGCGGCAGGGGGTTCACAAGCTCAAGACTTACTTGAGTCCCAGATTTCAAGAGCATCCTGGGCAGTTTACTTTCAGAGTGGGAAGAAGGGTGATAGGGACATATCTTAGTGGCAGAGCACAGGTGGGACCTCAGTAGGTTTCATCGTCAGGGGAAAGAACACTGACAGTGTTTGTGTGGAGTACTATTTACTCTTTATCATAATCTTTTCAAACGAATGTTTGTTGATCACTTTTTTCTGTAAAGAGACATCTGCTGCAATGGTGTAAATGTTTTAGCAGCAGTCTGCAGTAGCTCTACAACAGAGGAGTGCTATTAGAAAGTGTCTTCAAAGTAGTTTGTCAAAATGATCTTTATAAAGCTAAAGAATTTCAACCCAAACTCTGACTCTGTGATTGCTTTATTGGATATCTGTGTTTTCAGAAAAGATAACGTTTTACACAAATTCTTATCTTAAGCTTCTCGGAGCCAATGGAAATGCAAACATCAATTCGAAACTTCGTCTGCAGCTCTACTACCCACCCACTAAGCCTCGATCCCAGTCAAATGTTGTTGAGGTTTTTGAATGGTGGTCCAAGTGTCCAAGAAATCGTTATCCATCAACACTGTATGTAACTGTAAGGGGACTGAAAGTTCCGGACTGTGTAAGTATATATAAATGTATCTCCTCTGTTATTAAAACTAAGGATGACCTAATGTGTTTTCCATATTTAAAACATAAGCTCTCAGAAATATCGTTAACATATTTCTGTAAGAGAAAAATACTCACAAAGTTATGCTTTAAGTCTATAACAGTTGAAGATTAGATGAACTTTAAGTTTTAAGGAGTATACGTCACTGATAATAAAACTGTTTTGACATAATTTTGTATTTAGTAGTTAAAAATAAATAGATGAAAAGTTGGTACTGGGAAACATTTTCTTTTAAGGGGCAAGAAATAAAATGTTTTAGGCTTTGCAGACACGTATCACACTATTCAACCGTGTAGTGTGAGAGTAACTGTAGAGACACTGGAATGATGGACACCTTACTGCGTTCCAGTACATCTTTATTTACAGGACTATCAGTGAACCAAATCATACTTGGGCTCTACTATGCAGATCTTGATTTACATACTTTACATTAGAAGCATTCAAATAACCAGCAAATAACATTTCTACTACTATTGTCTACAGATAAACACTATTAAAAGATCTAATGATCGAAAAGCTTTTGCTGTTGTTCTTATTTGTATTAATCTTTCAGGTGGGTTGTATACACCCTATAGCTGATAGCACAGAGTTAATTTGCATTGGTCTAAATGGAGTTAAATATGCTCTATCAAAGGGTAGACATTTTTTTAAACTTCAGATTTTTATGATACTGGTTTTGTGATTGTTTTTAAGCCAGCAGTATCATGTTTTATCAGAGGCATGGCAAACATTAGGTCGGTATTCTTGAAGAAACAGACACAAGGGTACGGGGCTATAAAAAATGTTTCATGCATCTGGGTTTGTAATCCCAGCACGTAGGAAATGGAATATAGACTATGAAGCCCACTTCAAACACAGCAAGCTTGAGGCAGTCTGAAATACATGAGACCTTGTCTCAAAAACGAAAACAGATATTGTAATAAGGATAATTAAGTAAAACCATTTTTTACTATTAGAATCTACTATTTTTTCTATCCAAACTTTTAAAGCTTTGTGATTATAGGAGAATAGTTCAAATAGCTTTTATTTCATTTAGAGTAATATATAGATGAAAAAATTTCTGGCTTGTGCTTCTAAAAGGTTTCCATACCATTTTACCCAGTATCTTAATTTTATGGAGTTTTGTTTGTTAGTTTGTTTTTATTCAAGACATGATTTCATGGTGTGGGCCTGGCTATCCTGGAACTCATCATGTAGACCAGGGTGACCTGGAACTCACAGAGATCCACCTGCCTCTGCCTCCAAGTGCCCGATTAAAGGCATGCGCTACCACACTGGGCTCTGTCTCATCTCAGTACACTGAAAACTGTATATTAACAATAAGAAGCAATGTGTTCACAATCTTCACGTTTTCCACATGACTCCACATGGAGGAGGGAAGGAACTGATTTCTACAACCTGACCTCCACAAGCGCCATAGCTTGTGCACGCTTAACCATTTTTCCTCATTTTCCATACATATTTAGATAAAGCCATCTTACCGCTCTATGATGGCTCTTCAGGAGGAAAAAGGAACACCAGTGTATTGTGAACGCCACCGTGAGACAAGTTCAGTAGACACAGAACCTGGATTAGAAGATTCAAAGGAAGTGGTTAAGTGGAAACGCCTGCCTGGTCAGGTGAGATGTTTAATGACGCTTTGCAGTGTTAATGTTCCCATTCTGTGACAAAATGCTTAAGAAGAGCAGTTTAAAGACATGAAAGTTTACTTGGCTCAAACTTCCTTCATCCATTAAGATTGCCTTGACCATCTATCTGAACAATCTTTATTTGCTATATTTAGTTAATATTTACTGATAATAACTATTCATGGGGCTATTGTGAAGAATATAGCTAAAGGCATTTGTAGTGAGGTACAGCATTCATGCTATACAGTGAGGGCCTAGAGTGTACTTAGTTCGTCCTCTTGACTAACTCAGGCCTTGTTATCTTTCCATGTAAAGGACGCGTTTTGTACCTTGGTGTATTGAATTGGTTGGTGATACTGTTAATGAAAACCAGTCTGACAGCTAGCCAACATGCAACCCTGATAGAACAAGCAGAGATAACTTGTTCAGGACAGGATGTGGGGTGGCAGAGTCCCAAGACTATTAGAATGGGACACAGTTTAAAACTTACAAATCGTTTTGTTTCTGGAATTTCCCACATATGTTCAGCCCATAGTGACCTTAAATAAATGAAACCACAGAAAGCAAACCTTCAGATAAGTCAGAGGATGGCTCTGTGTCTTGGAGACAGCAACAGTGGATGGTTATTTTAGGAGAGGAAAACTAAGAATGGCCATTCATACATCCTGAATTTAAACTAGAGCATATATGGCATTTGTAGTTTTCAAACGTTTCTGACCTTAGGAAAAGCGACTGCTGTCATGGAACATGGAGGTGAAAAACATTCTTTTGTGGCTATATGAAAGCAGCATAGCAATGGAGAAAGCAGTGTTGGAGCATTAGAGATTGAAATTTTTCTGCGTGTTTTAAATTAATTAAATGCTAATTAGACATAAATTAAAATTATGGAAAACCAATTCTGTGCTGAACAAATAATTTTCTATAGTTTTTCACCATTCTATGTACATGTGTTTCTTTTCCTATGTGTTATAATAAGAGAACTTTAGGGGGAAATTATGGCATTGAAAATTATCAGGTCATTTTATTTCCAGATTTTCTAATTTATGTAGTTCTAATATATTCTTTATAGGCTTGTCGTATCCCAAACAAGCACCTCTTCTCACTGAATGCTGGAGAAAGAGGCTGTTTTTGTCTTGATTTCTCCCACAATGGAAGGATATTAGCAACAGCCTGTGCCAGCCGAGATGGATATCCAATTATACGTAAGAATAATGCAACTGTCTAACCTGATTGTATTCAGTATGGTCAGTGTTGGCTTTTTAGATTAGCAGAAATGTTAATTTAAGAAAACCCTAGTAAAGCAATCATATTTCTTCAACTAAAGGGACAGTTACTATATAATATGTATTCAGAATGAGACTGGTTGAATAAAAGATGTTATTTTTTAACATACAGGTGGATTTTTGTAAACATTAACTATTTTAAATATACACATTTATTATAAGAAGGAATAATAAATCTCATAGGAAACTTTTAGTTCACTGTGATTTTAGTTGATATTTGTAATGACCTGACTTACAAAAGTGCAGCAATTTGTCATATGCTAGAATTCTGACACGTGATCCTTAAGTACTTCAAAGAAAGCTCCCGTTATGATAGGGAAGGCAGCAGAAAGGCTAAGGCATCTTTTTCTGTAGCTTTTGGAGATGTTAAAATAGTATTATACAATTCTGGATTTAGTAACCTGTTTAATCTCAGCAGTGACATTAACTCTTCTTGACTGAAGAAGCCAGCTCTTCATGGGCATATGCCCTGATCACTAGACCACATTGGACTTAACCTAGCTTCACACTGTTCATGAGATTCATAAGATACATGTTCCAACATATTAATAGTCACTTTTCTATTTTGTGTAATTGTTTGTGTGTTATAGATTTTTCTATGTTAAATGTTATTCTGTGCTTAAACAGTTACTGATTTACAAAAATTTATTATTTAAACCTCAAAAATGTAATAAGAATCATTGCCTCTGGCTTTACACTGTTTGATTGTGGTACAGCTGACTGAGAAATCACCCAGCTTACTTAATGTGCAGATTAATGTCTTTCAGAGATTTGGAAGTAGTCATTTACTATTTCCCCACATGTTCTATTTCCCCCTTTCTCGTTCTTCCAGGACTGCCGTCATACCTGTCTTTATAGACTTAGCGTTGTCCATCTGAGACATTAGCATAGTCTCAGGTGACCTATCATCAAGTTGACTGGTTTCTCTGCCAGTCCAGCTTTGTTGTTGAGCCATTCTCTTGAATTCTTTATTTCAATGATTATGCTTTTTAACTCCAAAGCTTCTTTTGGGTTCATCCTTGGCATTTCTATTTATTTACTGATGCTTTCTTTTTTGATGAGGAGTCATTATTATCTTTAATCCTTTTGGTTTTCTTTAAGTCTTCGACCATACTGATAATGATAGGTTTAAAGATCTTGGTAAGAAAGAACTGGGTTTCCTTAGTTTATGTATGGACAGTTTCTGCTAACTGCTGTTCTTTCCTGTTTGTTTGCCTTTTTCCATGTCACAACTTTGCGCTGAAAACTGGTATTCTTGTAATGGAGTGCAGAATAGCTGTTTGCCTTTTTGTCCCGTCATCAGCCACCTAAGACTTGTTGTTGCTTCTGGTTGTGCACTGAGTCTTCTAGATGAATTCTGTAGAGAATGTATCTTCTGCTATCTTGTTAATCCTTTGTAGACTGCCCAGTCAGCTAGTTGGTATTAATACTTTACATGGGTCCAATGCTGCCCTTCCCCAGGGAACCACTATTCTGGGATATTCTCTCAGTGCTTCAGCCCACTATTTAAAAGTCCCTGAGCTGACAGCTTCAAGTCACTCACATGAAGATCATAAAGATGAAGCCTCCCAGGTTTTCCTTTGCATCGTGTCTGGGGAACTTAGATTGTCAGCAGTATTTTGAAGCTGTCCATAGTTCCACATAGCCATCCCACTCCAGGCTCTGCTTGGTTTTAGGTTTTGTGTTCTTTAGTGAGTTGCGGCTTCTCCCAGCTGCTATCAACCTCTTACGCAACCACAACGTTAAATGGTGCCACATGCACACTAGAATCTGATTTTCACATAAAGCCTACACAGAGGCTGTTAAATAATATGCCTTGGAGCTTATCTTGGATATGAAAGGTCATCAAATAGGAAGAAGTCTTTGGAACTGGAGTTTTCAGGAAGCTTCAGACCTCTTCTGCATCACTGGGTGGCTTCTGATTTTCATTGTTGTTTAAGGTTTCTTTAGTGTTTAGGAAAGAATTAGATTGTTGTAACACAAAGCTCAATGTTCTTACTGAGATTCAGCTGTTTCCTCACATAAGTGTTCCTCTATATCTCCCAAGCCTTTTAGAGTTAATTCCCAGAGTTCTGTCATCTTGTGAGAACTCTTGCCAGGTCTTTCCTTTTACAGGGGAATAGATTTCCCAAAGTCCTGGGTTCTGTGCTAAGTTCTGAATTGCTTAGAAGTTCGAAGGGGGTTGATTCACCACTAGGTGGGAGTAGAGGCTTGCACACTGTTGTGTATTAAGCACTCAGTTTCGATTTCCTTGAATGTCAGCCCTAATAATACTTTTCTTTGTTCAGTTCATTCGATGCTATTCCATTATGCTCTCTGTCATTTAATATGAGAATTTCTTTCTGACAGTGCATTGTTTACATGTCTCATTACATCCAAAATATTTTGGATTTTAATTGATTTTAGAGGAAAGTAATATCTTATTCATGAAACCCTAAGTTGTAAAGTACTTAAAGTTATTTGAAATATAAATGTTATTTACTTTTTTACTAATAAATTGATTATCAAAAGTTATTTGTGGGTTCTAGCAATATGAGTTATTGATAGCATATTAAAGAATATTGTCAAAATTTAGCTTATATAAAATTTCTTGTAGACACTTGGGAGTGAAGCAGTTGTCAAAATTTAGCATATATAAAATTTTATGTAAACTCTTGGAATCAACTGAAAACAGTTCTTGAATATATTTTGAAATTATGTGAATATTACAAATGTTTTGGCTATATTTTACAGATAGTACTTAACATTTTCTAAATTACTTACTATAAGTTGTGTATTTATATACTTGTTGAATTAAAGATCTCCTAGATATTTAATTTCTAAATATTTTTTGTTAGTATATGAAATTCCTTCTGGACGTTTCATGAGAGAATTGTGTGGCCACCTCAATATTATTTATGATCTTGACTGGTCAAAAGATGATCGCTATCTCGTTACTTCATCGTCTGATGGCACTGCCAGGTTAGTATACATTCGAGAAGTACTGTGTGTTGTTTACCATCAAGGAAAGCTAAGAGGATATAAGGAGTCAGATATGCCTCTGACCATCATAACTGTATATCTTGCATCCTGACTGGTTAAACAGCAGTAAAACTTGATGGCAGTACTCTTGAGTATCTTTTATTTGTGTAATATATAACATTTCTGCCCCTTGATGGTTTTAAAGTATTATATGTGCTAATTAATATCTTGCAAGAAGTGTTTGATATTTATCCTATACTGTGAGAATTCTATCTTCATTGTAGGCTGGGTGTATGGGCTTGAAACCATTGGTGTTCAGTCGGTAGGTATAAACCAAGTAAATGACTCGGTTACACACTTGGAGCTTTATAGGTTGTTAAACATTTGCATTTTTGTGAAGTCACTCTTAATTACACCCTTCCATTTACTATGTATCACAATACATTTTATTCACTATCTGGTTCTTTAAGTGTTTTCACAGTCTTACTTGCAGCCCAGGCTGACCTCAGATGTGCAGTCCTTCTTCCGCTTCCTATTGCAGGGATTAAGGGCAGGGCCCTGGCTCAATAAAATCTTTTAAAAGCTAATATTTAAACTCTATATCTTTTAGCTGCCTGTCTTGAATATGCATGTTCTAAAAATAAAAGGTTTTCAGGGTTCTTTAACTATGTAATTTAGACTAGGTAGGTGTGCTCTTTGCCACCTGGGGAGCTGCTCCGCAATCATTTTGACCCACACTAACCTCATTCTCACTTACTTTCTCTACCTCCTCTTCTTGCTTAATAAGCCATGCGATTTTTAGTGCCTAAGCTCCTCCTACTGCTGACCTTAATCACCTCCCCTTTCTATATAAAGTGACTGCTGATCAGTGTGTCACCATTGTTTTGTTTATGTTTAAGTGAAGAGCGATGATAAATGGCAGTTTACGTCCCTCTCCGTTAATCTGGGGGAAGTTATTACTCCCTTAAATAGACTGAAGATATTGACTGGCTTACTCTTAGCACAGCCATACTATCTGAAGGTAGATGATAATATTAGACAAAAGGGCTGTTTGCTGAGACGTGCAAAGGGTTTTAAGTCACCTGAGAGTTCATCCCTGCTGAGTTATCTTTCAGTCTTTTGCTCACGCACTGGAGCAGATCCAGATGCTAGGTGCATCAGTTTCATTGTTTCTCATCTTTCACTTGCTGACTTCAATTTATGGTAAAATTTCACTGGATATATGGATTGTCTCCATAAGGTCCATAAATTATGTCTTTATCACTGTGCTTTCTCTTAATGAAACAGTATGGGCGTGAACTCCTTAATCAATTAAAATCCAACCTAGAGTGCTGGTAAAGACAGCGAGGCTGAAAACCTGAGATATCTGGGACCCACAGAGTGGGAGGGCACAACCAACACATACAGAGTGTCCCCTTACCTTCACATGTGTGCAGTGGCATAAGCATAGCCACCCCCCCACACGTGCGCACGCGCACGCGCATACACGCACACACACACACACACACACAAAATGCAATTTTTAAAATTTAAAATCGGCTAAGATTTCACCATGAGTATCCATATATAATATCACTCATTACGCATTTCTCTAAGTAGCTTTAAAATTGACATGAATTTGAATCTATAGATAATAAAAAGTTTTGTGAAAGCATTGAGTGAAGGGAAAAAGCACTGTAGCTGGAACTAAGAAGACAAAGAGGCCTTTGAAAGAGACAGGAGGGTGTTAGTAATGACAGCCAAAGGAAGTTAGTAGGGATGGTAGTGCTCACAAGTGGCAGGTTGTAGATTTTCTGCCTCTGACTTCTCTGCTTTCCTGAAATCACATTCACATCTTTTCATTGGTTTTTCCCAGATAACGATTTTTGACCTGCTAGCTCCTTGCCATATGGCTTTAGCTTATTTTCTCCTTTACTTGTTTCCAGAATAATCTGGTTTTTCTCAAGTCTGCAGCTTCTACTATAAAGAGAAAGACAAAACCATATGTAATAGCTCTACAGTAGTTATATCCCATCTTACACACTATTTTAACTTTTTGGAAAGTGCTTTTTCTTTCCCATCTTTGCATTTACATCTACTCTTTAATAATTTAATAAAGAACATCCTTGTTCTTTATTAATGGCTACAAACCATTAATACATTTCTTTTCATGTTGTAGTCTACCCTTACATAAAAACAAACTAACAAGTTCAGTTTTTCCACAAAAAGCTTCATTTAAAATACATACATATGAGCCAGGCAATGGTGGTGAATACCTTTAATCCTAGCACTTGGGAGGCAGAGGCAGACAGATCTTTGTGAGTTCAAGGCCAGCCTGCTCTACAAAGCTACACAGAGAAATCCTGTCTCGAGAAACCTAATAATAATAATAATAAATATATATATATATATATATATATATATATATATATATAGTATTGAGTCACTTGAAGGTCTTCATTTCATTCTGTTATGTATACTATGTCAAATAACACCAAGATTTATTAGCAATAAGATGAGGATTTTGCCTTTTAACTATCATAGCATACCTTTCAAATTAGCAATTATGTTATTTTTGTCTCAATTTTATCTCATGTAGCATATGTTCATTGAAATTCGCTTTTTTTTCAATAAAATGTTATGGCAATGACATGTATGCTTTATTTTCACTTGAGAACATTTTTTCATCCCTTCATTATTAGTTTTTAGTAATTAGCATATAGTTTAATCACCTGTTGAGAAAATACAAAATATCTCTATTGAATAGCTGATTTTTTTTTTTCTTTTATTTGTGATTTGGTACATATGTTTTAGGCAGCAATTTAAGAGTCAACTGTAAATTCCCAATTCAGAACCAGGTGGTTGTGGCACACACCTTTAACCAGGAGGCAGAGACAGGTGAATTTCCATGAGTTCAAGGCCAACCTGATATACAGAGTAAATTCCAAAACAAGCTCCAAAGCTACATCGAGAAACCCTGTCTCAAAAAAACAAAACAACAACAAAAAATTTCCAACACAAATACATTCTTTTTCCAGGCAGTGGTGGTTCATGTATTTAATCCCAGCACTTGGGAGGCAGAGGCAGTCAGATCTCTGTGAGTTCGAGGCCAGCCTGGTTTACAGAGCAAGCTCCAGGACAGGCTCCGAAGCTACAAAGAAACCCTGTCTCAGGAAAAATAAAAACCAAGCAAACAAAACATGTATTTTTTGATTCCAATAATTTAATTCATCATTTAAAATACCAAATAACTAATATGCATAGAGCTACTTGTACATCACTAGGTTTCATCTGTTTTACACACGTACTCACATTTGGAAAACAAAAGGAATGACAGCATAAAGGTAGTGCTTACTATGTGAGAGCTTGTTCTCTGTCAAAATACCATAGTTACGTTAATCAAATAGGCAGAATGGATCAGTTGATAAGTGCTTGCACACAGCACAAGGACCTGATTTCAGATCCCTTAGACCATGCCCAGAAACCAGGCAGAGCAGCTCACATCTGTGATAACAGAAGACAGAAATATCCCTCGGTTTTCCGGACAACCTTTCTAGCCAATTAGTGAGTATCTGTCACAAAAGTTAGGTTCAGAAGTGATTGAGGAAGACACCCACTGTCAAGCTGTGGCCTCTACATGTGGTACATGGGCACACAGCATATACATTTAAAAATAACTTACTTTTTCTGTGTAAGTGTTTAGGATCTATATGTATATTACTCAGCCTTTGAAATACAAATTAGAAAGTTAGTGGGCTCTCTAATTGTCTTGGCCTCCACTAGGAAGCATTTTCAGAAGCAGTACATACAACCTAATGGAAAAGCCATTAAGTTTCTTCCTATCTTCTAAAATCATTGGTGTATCTATATATGTATTTATTGAATTATAATGTGTTTGAGTTGTTTTGCCTGAATGTGTTTATGTACACCGCATACAGGCCAGGTTCCTGCAGAGGTCAGAGGTCTGAAATTATAGATGTTATGAGCCACCATATGGGCTTTGGGAACCTAACCTGGGTCTTCTCAAGAGCAGCCAATACTCTGAGCCATCTCACTGTCCTCTTTTCTACTTCTTTGTTTCGTTCTGGTTTTTTTGGTTTTCTGAGACAGGGTTTCTCTGTGTAACCCTAGCTTTCCTTCCCTACTTTTTTTTTTTTTTTTTTTCCTTTTTATTTTTGGTTTTTCGAAACAGAGTTTCTCTGTGTAGCTCTGGAACCTGTCTTGGAACTTACTCTGTAGACCAGGCACAGATATCTGCCTGCCTCTGCCTCCTGAGTGCTGGGACTAAAGACATGTGCCATCAACACCCGGCTTCTTCCCTGCTTCTTAATGCATATGAAATAATGTCTTACCAGCTATTCAGTGTGTATTTACTCAGTGTCAAAACTGGCTTTAAATATAGATTATTTGCAAGTGCAAATAAGATTTTAACTTTATGATATAGGTTATAGTTAGAGATAAAATATATTTCATGACAAATGGCTTTGTAAAAACAAAAGTGAAATAGTCCAATATATGATCATTATCATGCTTTGTTATAAATATTAATTTATGTAATTTTATCATTGTTTGACATTTGCGTACCTAAGTTTTATTGGCTATATTCTTCAAAAGACAGTTAAGGAAATTTTTGAATTTCAAGCAGTCTGTTACTTTCTCATTTTCCAGGGTTTGGAAGAATGAAATAAACAGTACAAGTACTTTCCGAGTCTTACCTCACCCTTCCTTTGTCTACACGGCTAAGTTCCACCCAGCTACACGAGAGCTGGTGGTTACGGGATGCTATGATTCTATGATAAGGGTATGGAAAATTGATATGAGAGAAGATACTCCCATATTGGTCCGCCAGCTTGATGTTCACAAGAGTTTTGTCAACTCTATCTGTTTTGATGAGGAAGGTATGTCACATAACATGCTCTAAGTCAAGATAGCTACTTAAGAAGAGAGAGTATTTCCTTTCACTAATAGTCGATGCTTAAGAGATTCTTGTATTAATATTTGTGAATAACTAGTTATGCTTCGTTTCAAGTAACAGGGTAGGCAATGAAGGTGTTCTGTTTATACTTTTAAACTTATTAAGTTCCTAATATTTATATTCAGTTATCTTTTTTCTAAAAGCCCTTTATGTACTGAATTTCATAAATATATTTCTGTTGGTGATTATTATTTTTAGTAATTGCCTTTTATAACCTTTTAAGTTGTTTAGTACAAAATAAAAGAGTCAGGAGAAATTCCAAAAGAATGTTGTAAATATACATGCTAAATACATCAACAGGATTTTTTTTAACACATTAAGAAGGGAATTTGCAAATAATTAAAGATTCTCAGCCTTTGAATAATATAAATGACATTTTAAAAATGTAATATATAGGTTTTTATTGAATTTTATTGGAAAGACTAAAGAAATACATTCTCTTCAGTTGTCATTTATATCATTTCAGAGATTATAATTATCTAAAATAATATTCATAGAAAAATAATAATGCTGTAATATACTTAGTTCAACTTTAGAGATTCCAATAAACTAATAACTTTTTTGTTTTGCTCAGAATTGAAAAGAGCATCTACTACATAGTAGTATTCACCAGTTGAATTTGTAAAGTATTAAATTCTCAGTGCTAAATAAACAACTTTGTTTGTTAGCAATGATGTATAATGTATTCCTGCATGATCATGATGTTGAATCTATGTTTTCTGCGTCCCATTCAATTTTTAAGGACTGATATTAATACTTGTCATTATTATTTTATTAGTTCTCTGATCATTTTACATTTAATGGTCACTAGAGTTATGTTAACAGTATATATGAGAAAGTTATTTTTCTAGCAATATGAAACATTGCATAGGCTAATAATGATAAATATAGATACATGTTGGGCAATTCAAATAATTTGAAATATGAGTATATGAGTGCTACACATGTAGGTTACATTGCTTATTTCTTTCTGTGTCCAGATTCAAATAAATGACAAAGGGAAATATTAGCAAATATGCTTTTTAAAAGTGAAAATATTTCTTAAAGGTAATTGGGATCATAGTGTGAGCTGCAGTTTACTTTTTAACTTTTAAGCTAAAAAGCCTTTCATGGTCATTCCAGTGCTTTGACTGTTAGCCTGGGCTTTGTTTCCCCAACTTCACACCATTTTCCTAACTTCTGTGGCATTGCTGTTGTTACTAGGTCATCACATGTATTCAGGAGACTGCATCGGGGTGATTGTTGTTTGGGACACTTACGTGAAAGTGACCGATCTGCAGCATTCAGTGCGCCACTGGGCGATAAATAAGGTACAGAATCGTTTCATACCTTGAGGTGTCATGAAGGAAATTGAGAAAAGTCAGCCACAGGACTTTAAAAGACTGTGAGGATGCCTAGTCTGTCACTTGAAAAATGAAGCTTTTCTCAGTCCAAATGCCAATTATTATATCTTCCCGGTAGCTGAAGTCAGTAGTCATTAACTATCACATCTTTCTGATAGTTGGTTGATGTCAACTCAGTGAAGATTTTTCATGTGGGTCATACTTTGCTCTTTATGTTCAGGGCCTGGCACATTCTAGGTAATGATTCTCCCACTAAGTTACAGCCTCACCCCATTTGTTGTCTTTTGGGGTACAATATGCAGCATGGCATTAACTGAAATTCACGTTAAAATAAGGCATAGAAGTACAGCTAATTTTCTATTATGGGTAGCCTGTGTTTTCTCTAAGAACTGTCACTAAGAACAGCATCGGTGCTTTGTTTCATAGTAATATAATTATGATGGGAGTCGTCACTTAATCACAATAATTGCTTCATTTGAAAACTTGCTAACAATAGAAACAAATAAGGGAATGTGTTCCTGATAGAAATAAATAAGGAAGTGCATTATGGGAAAGAGTATTATGGTCTGTAAGTAATTTTGTTAATTTTTTAAAATTAAAAACATGTATTTGTAAACTTGAGCTTACATTTTGTTATATCTTATGTTGCATATTTTTCTTCATTTTTAAAATGAATTTTAACAATAGCTGTCATCGTTTGAGAACAAAAAAGTTTGAGGAAAAAAAAAAGTACTGTGAATTTCAGTTAGATCAAGACTCTCAGATTTATCGAGAATATTCTGTCTTTGGTTATTCTCATCCCGTCTGTCAGATTAACAGGTGGACCTTAAGGCTTAATATGTACCCTGATTTCATACATTGCATTTTAAAAAGAATTTTCTAATGGCATGAACACTTCCTGGATTGCTGTCTATAAAGACACCTGTTTCAATCATTTGAATCTACAATGTGGAATTACTTATTGGTTTTAAGTTTTGTGTTTCTTTGCCTTAATACAGTGTCTTAAACAGTGTTGAAGTATTCAAGCAGTATTAACTTAAACATTAACGGTATTTAAACACCTTAAAACAGGTGTCTTAAACCCAGATGCCTGTTTACTTGAAAATCTGCGTTAGCATTATTTGAAACAGTGAATGCACATGGCAAACTGGAGACTGGCTGCATATTTAGCTGTGTGCTGCTGGCAGTATGGGGATTGCTAAGGTGCACTCACTCATCTGCCCCCTAAGGATGAAGTGGCCATTTGCAGATGCTTAGCTAGCCTTACACAGACTCCAAAACAAGGACATTTTAGTTTGAGCATGAGTATGACACTGGTTCCACGCTGTTTTTGATTTTGCCCTTTTGTATCTCTTCTAATTGCTCAGATCTCCTTCGGTGGTTTTCCATCTCACATTTGTTTATAGGTTAGCTCATTTAACTTCCCATCTGTGGTGTCGGTATTTTACTGTTCTATGCAGTGGTGGCTCACACCCTTAATCCCAGCACTCGGGAAGCAGAGGCAAGTGGATCTCTGTGAGTTGAAGGCCAGCTGGTCTACAGAGCGAGTTTCAGGACAGCCAGGACTGTTTCACAGAAAATCCCTGTCTCAAAAAACAAAAACCAAACAGTAAGGAAAAAAAAAAAAAAGTTGATAGCTCCTAGAGTTGGACGGCAGCAGGGATTGAGCCGCTAATTTAGAGCAGCAGTGTGCCCGACTGCCACTGTTGGTGTGGTCCCCTCACTGAAGAGGAAAGCCTCTGGGTGAAAATTACAAAGCTCAAGTGAGAGGAAGACTGATTCAGAGTTCTGCCCCGGGTTAACGGGCTTTCCTTAAACTCTCTGGACTTTAACCAAGTTATCTGGGGAGTCTGCTTAGCCTGGTACTAGCATCGCTGATACCTAAATTATTTTGCATTTGCAGGTTTTTTTTCCTTCCTCTGGCAATACCAAGAAAGATCTTTGATAATCATTTTTTTAAATGTTTATTCTGTACATTAAAGGTTATAGTAGGGTTATGAGAGTACACACAGTAAAATTGTTACTGTAGTGAACCAACATAACCCTTTCAGTTTTTTTATGAAAAGAGCAGCTAAAATCTGTACATTTTGTATGATTCAGTACAATTTCATTGCATGTAGACTTCGTATTGCATACTTAATGACCAGAGTTGTTCACCGTGTGTCCTTACCAAAAGCTTCCAGCTGTTTCTTCATAACTTTTATGTATTTGGGTTTGTTGTTTTAGATTCTGTATATGATTGAGACTGTAATATTTGCAGTATTTTTCATGGTGTCTGACTACTTATCTTTTCTTCTAGGCTCATCCTTGTTGTGGCAAATAAAATTTTTTTTGTTTGTGCAGATGAATAATACTGGAGAGAAAAGAACATGGATGGGAGATGGATGGATGGATGGATGATTTCCTTAATTTTTAATGATATTGAACATCTGGTTATATATTTTCAGCCATTTTTATGTCCTTTGTGGAGATGTCTATTTAATTCTTTTGCCTATTTTTCTTTTTTTATCCAAGTCATTTGTTTTCCTGGCACTGAGTTTATGTGTTAAAGGATTAATCTCTTATCAGATAGATAATTTACAAATTATTTTCCAAGTGTGTGCACTGTAGTACATTGTGCTGTTGCAGAATCCCATTTACTTATACTTTTGTGACCTACATTTTGTTGTTGACCTTCCCCCAACACCCTCCCCCACCAGAAAATATCGCCAAGGCCAATTCTCAGAAGCTTTCCCCTCTTGCTAATACCTGTATAGTTTCTGTTCTTACCTATACATATTTTATTCACTGTAAGTTGATTTTATTGTGTATAAGGGTAATTCTTATGCAAGGCTTAGGGAGATTGGTTCTTCAATGTGACATTGTGAGTTGGGTGCCTACTTTAGCTACAGAAGAAAAATGCAAGGAAGAGGTAGAAGAAAGGAGTGGAGTCAAAGTATTCACAAAATGATTATAATCTAAGTCATATGATGCAAATATTATGCCTGCAGCACACCTTCTTATGGCAAGTGGAAGTTTATGAGGAAAGAATCCAAATCTAACTAAAACTTCCAAGTCAGTTTTGAATTTATAAAATACTGAAGTTTTTCTTACATGATATGGACAGAAAAGACAGTGTGAGAAGTTGTATGTGAAGTACTTTTGTTAGGACTGATTATATTTTAAGAAAGTGCATAATATACAAAATATATAATTAAATATAGCACTATATAACACAATACGGTTTATCATTTTTATTTTTCATATAAATTGAAGTTTGTTAAAAAAATCCTTGTTGCTAATAACCTTAAAATATTCAGTGTAGTAGAATTGAATTTTTGGTTCACTTTTTAAATTTTACTTTATTTTGAAACTTTATGGCCTCATACTCAGACCAGTCCTGCCTCAGCCTCCCAAGTGTTGGTATCATATGGGTAAGGTACTATTCTCAGCCAGAAATGATATTTTAAAATTAATTCTGTCCTTTATAAACAGACACTTCGGTAGCAATGGTCAGACCTTTTTTATTCTGTCATTTTAGGAAATTAAGGAAACTGAATTCAGGGGAGTTCCAATAAGTTATCTAGAGGTTCATCCCAATGGAAAACGTTTACTAATTCACACCAAAGACAGTACATTGAGGATCATGGATCTGCGGATGTAAGTGACAGCATAAGTACTTTAATTGGTTCCTTTATGTTTATAAAATGCAACAATATTTTTGAGTCAGCAGTTTTGTGTAATGGGGCATCATCTGTAAAGATTTGTGTGTTGCTTTTTCCTCTAATGGGTAAAAATCAGATGTTGCTAAGCATGCTATGGCTAAGACAGCCCTCAAAATAGAGAGTTACTTGATGCTGTTTGAGTAACTCTAGGGCTGAAATGGAATCAGTGTTTTTTATTTTCATAATGAAAAGCAGATACTCATATCATCAACAGTGAGATACTTAGATTCTAAGACTGTAACTGAGGACATGGTTTTTAGTTAATGCATCTTTGTCTGTTTTACTTCAACAAGGGAAAAGGATGGGAAATGCCTTAATATAAAAGACAAGTGAAGTTTGGCAGAAAGTATTATGGACAGGCAGTGTATTTTTTTGTTGGTGTTAGAATTCCATGTGAAACAAACAAGAGGAAGCTATTTCATGGGTTTCTTACTGTATTTAGAAATTCACATATTGGCCGGGCCGTAGTGGTGCATGCCTTTAATCCCAGCACTTGGGAGGCAAAGGCAGGTGGGTCTCTGTGAGTTTGACACCAGCCTGGTCTACAGAGCTACACAGAGAAACCCTGTCTTGAAAAAGGAAAAGGAAAGGAAAGAAATTCACATATCAATCTATATGATTTAACCCCATATATATGATTTTAATGCTATTAGCCCTTCAGTGTTTGAATGTAATAGCTCAAGACCCCAGCATGAGTACTATGGGAAATTGACAGCAGAATTAAGTTTACAAACTGTTCATTACCTTTCACATTACAACACAACAAACATTTAGATTAAAACTTGAAATCTGGAGCTGGGCATGGTGGAAGCTGAGGGGGTGGATCTCTGAGTTCCAGGACAGCCAGGGATACACAGAGATACCCTGTATCAAAAAACAGAGAACAAAAGTAAAACTTGAGATCTTGTATTGGAATCTGAGTATCCAGGGCATGCCAGATAAATAAGCCAGCTCTCAATATGTGTCTCTTAATAAATATAAATGTATGTATAATTAGTATATATGTTATAGCAACAACAAGGTGACAGCTATAATTCAGCTTTTCTATTAAAGACTGTTGAAAGACTGCTGTTTGAATTCAGTCTTGAAGGGTGAATAGACCAGATAAGATGGAGGGTTTTCAGTATGGTAGAGAATGAAACACAGTGAAGACTGGGATGTGTGCTCAAGGCAGATGATTAGCCCGAGCACAGGATTTTTGACAAGGAATACTAACAGGGAAGTTTTTTAAACATAGAAACTAAGAGGCCAAGTTATTCTCTTTTTAAGCCCTATACCTGGGCTCACAGACAGGCTAGGTAAAGAGTCAAATGCTGCTTTTTCTTTCTCTTTTCTCAGATGGGAATGTATCATACCCATTGGGTTTTGTGGAGGAATGAGTGAGTTAATAAATTGAGTGCTTTGTACAATTAAAAGCACACTGCAAGGACTCCAGAAATGTTCACTCAGTAACCCAAGGAGTGGAAATTTAAATTGAAAATATTAAAAAACATATACATATGCATGCAGCAAAATTGTTATGGAAACAATGTTCATGGTAGGAGAAAGCAAGAACTACACTAAATATTGTTCAACCGTAGAACATTTCTTCAGGTACATTGAGATGATGCCATAAGTCCATTGGAATAATAATGCAGTCTGTGTTGTCTGACACACTGTGAGCACTGAAACAATGTCAGCTGTTGCTCTAAGTGAAAGGCTAGATGGTATTTATTACATTTATTTCTCATTATTATTGGCAGTCAGCAGAAGAAAGAAGAAATGCATCACATAAATTGGAAAGGAACATGAAAACATCTCCTATTTGTTGAGTCTTCATCACAGAATGCCTACCATATCATAGACTAAAAATGGCTTACTAATGCAAATGCAATATTTACAAAGAACATTTCTCTCCCACTAGTCTCTAAATGGTTAAGATAGATTATGTTTGCACGTTTTTGCTTGTTTATAGACTAGCAGCCAGGAAATTTGTTGGTGCTGCAAATTACCGGGAGAAGATCCATAGTACTTTGACACCATGCGGGACTTTTCTCTTTTCTGGGAGTGAGGATGGAATAGTGTATGTTTGGAACCCAGAGACAGGTAAGTATTCATTGATCTTTTGAAAAAAATTTTGGGGGATGGGGATAGAAAGTTCAAAATATGTGAATACTATGGGTATTTTTTTATATTTTTAAGAAAAATCTGGCTTTATGTTTTAAACCTGACTTACATATTTTAAAATCGGGTAGCGTATTAGTTAATTTTCTCATCACTGTAACAAAATCCCTGACAAGCAATGTAAGGAAGGAATGCTGTGTTTTTAGCTCACAGTTCCAGAGATAATAACTGTCGTGGTGAGGAAGGCATAATGGCAGGAGCAGGGGGCAAGTTAGAAGCAGGGGGGGCTGAGGAAATAGCTTAGTAAATAAAATAAGTGTGGGGTATGTGAATGTCAGTCCCCAGAAACCATGACACCCAGAAGCGGTGACACATACCTGTATCCCAGTGTTCTTCTGGAAAATGGGAGGCAGAGGTGGAAAAAACACACCAGAAGCTCTTGGACCCTCCCTCAAATAATATATAAGGTGAGGACAGACAGACAGGCAGGCAGGCAGGCACGCACACACTGACTAGTATACAGGAAATAGAACTACTAAAAAACTTCAAGGCTCACCCTCAATGACCCACTTCCTCCATCCCCTCCACCTCCTCCTCCTCCATCCCCTCTATCTCCTCCTCCTCCATCCCCTCCATCTCCTCCTCCTCCAACCCCTCCATCTCCTCCTCCTCCATCCCCTCCATCTCCTCCTCCTCCAACCCCTCCATCTCCTCCACCTCCATCCCCTCCATCTCCTCCTCCTCCATCCCCTCCATCTCCTCCTCCTCCATCCCCTCCATCTCCTCTTCCTCCATCCCCTCCATCTCCTCCTCCTCCATCCCCTCCATCTCCTCCTCCATCCCCTCCACCTCCTCCTCCTCCATCCCCTCCATCTCCTCCTCCATCCCCTCCATCTCCTCCTCCATCCCCTCCACCTCCTCCTCCTCCATCCCCTCCATCTCCTCCTCTTCCATCCCCTCCATCTCCTCCTCCTCCATCCCCCCATCTCCTCCTCCATCTCTTCCACCTCCATCTCCTCCTCCATCTCATCCATCTTCATCTCCTCTACCTCCTCCTCCTGCATCTCCTCTTCTTCCATCTCCTCCTCCAGCTCCTCCAGCTCCTCCAGCTCCTCCAGCTCCTCCTTCACCTAAAGGTTTCAGACCTTCAGAAGTAGTACCAGCTGGAGACCAAGTACTCAAGTATTCAAATACATGACCCATGGAAGACATTTTTATCAGACCACAACAGATAGCTTTTAATTAATTCACTTGTATTCTAAGTATGTATTGAATTTGTTCTTGATTCTTTTAATGTCATTGTAAATTTAGAATTTCACATTAGAAATCGAGATTTATTCTTTCCATACCTATAAGATAGTGCAGGCAGATGCTTGAAAAGTATTTTATGAGTACTGTAAATACAAAACACAAAATACTCTAAGCGGAATTGTAACCAGGTAGACAGGTGGGTAAACATTGATGATTTAGCTTGATTAATTACAAGTACATTCCTGTGAACATTTTCTGGTGCCTTTTGACTTCTGGCTAATTTCCTATGTTTCAGTGACTTCTGTTTGTGGGATCTTCTAGCTCTAATCGTGAGACCTTTCAAGCTGTTAACACCTCAGGCTCTAGGGATAAAACACACACACACACACACACACACACACACACACACACACACACTAAAATGGAAAAAACTGAGCCCTTGTCAATTGTGCCCTGTCTAGGGAATTTCTTCAGTTACAGAGTTTTATAATTGTTACTTAGAGTTCTCGTACTTTTCTCTGGTCTCTCTCAGTCGGTCATACATGCCTGTTTCCATTAATACATTTCATGTGTGTTTTGTTGTCCAAAACATTGAAAAGACTGGGTTAAAATGCAGACAGAAGCCAATAAAATGCAAAATAAATAATTATTCATCACAGTGATACTCAAACACCCAGAAGTAGTTGAGGTTTTCATGTAAATAATGTGAGCCTCATGCTGTAAGTCTTTCCAAGTAAAGTATGGAATAATCTTGGAAGGAGAAACATGTGACACAGTAAAGGTTGCTGCATTTCTTCTTTTCTTTAGGAGAACAAGTAGCAATGTATTCAGACCTGCCATTCAAGTCAACTATTCGAGACATATCTTACCATCCTTTTGAAAACATGGTTGCATTTTGTGCATTTGGGCAGAGTGAGCCAGTTCTCCTCTATGTTTATGATTTCCATGGTAAGTCCACTGCTTAATGTGAATGAACCAGATGTATGTAATGGGCCAGCACTATATAAATTATTAAAGATGCTTTCAATTACCATAGTCTTTTTTATTTTACTATATAAAGAGCCAAAAAAGATGATATAAGTTATTTATTATAAAAAAGTATTTGGACTTATGTTGTTTTTTAAAATATTTATAAAATATTTTCTATTCTGAAATTAGGATTTTGCTTTTCTAATTGCACAGTATTTCTCAAAAATATTTTGTAACCTTCATACATTAATTATAAAAAATGAAAAGTCCTTAGTATTCCCTTTGCTTTAATTTGACTGATATAACATCATTCAGTATTTTGGTGAGCTAAAGTGATATATATATATACGATATTTATATGCATGTAAGTATAAAATTGTATGTGTGATATAAATGTAAAACTATAAACATATTTTAATGAAATATATGGAATTATCTAATGCTATAATACATGTGATTAGACAATCGAGCTGTTATAAACCTGAAGATTTTACTCATGTACAGATTATATTATACATTTTTTTCAGTAACTTACCTTAAAAATGAATGCGGAAAATGAAGATTTATCTTAATGACCCTTACAGAGAAAAAATGATTTCTGCAATTCGTACTCAACTTTATGTACTTCTGTAACTCGTGATAGAGTTGTCAGACAATGAATACCATTTAGGTTTATTAGCAATGGTTAGCAAAGCTGCTGCTGCCCTATTAGAGAGAAGGGTAAGTGAGTTCCTCAGGTCATCCAGTGTCCAGAGCTAGCACCTCTTCCTAACAAGTACCATTCTAGTTTTTCCATAGACAAAAGAATTATACCTAATTACTGTATAATTGGAACTTACTGTCCAAGAAAAGAGCGCACAGTTATTGCCTCAGACCCTTAGTAGATTTCACAACCATCTTCATTCAGTTTATAATTTGCTTTTTAGACTTTTGAAATTGCACTGCAAAGATTAGTTAAGTTCCGCTCTGTTTTTGTCTTCAAGTAGCTTCCCCTCTTCATTGCTAGAAGGGTTTCTTGGCTCAGAATGAGGTGCGTTAGCTGGACAGTAACATGGATCTCAGGGCCCTGTTCCGCTCACTTCAGTGACCTTAACTACTGCCTCTGCCTTTCTGACCCTCCATTCTTCCATCTCTAGAAAGGAGCTTAGAGTAATAGTGCCTGCCCTACCAAAGAGAGCTCTAAGACACTGAGACAGTGGCTGTAAAGATGCCCTGGAAAATCATAGGCACTCTAGTAGAAGATGCCTAAGTTAATATTTGTGTTCATGCTCATCTACCGGAGGCCAAGTCACTTTACAGGAATGTATGTTTTAACAGCCAGTAAGCATCTCTTTGTGGGATGGAACTATAAAAAGTAGTCTTCCTCCCCTTACTCTGTTAGCCAGCCTTTTCTGTTTTATTTATTAACCTGTTATTAACCTGCATGCCATCCCAGGCCAACTGTATTGCAGCATTAAATACAGAATGGTTAAAAGCATGCTGGGTCCATGTTGTCTTAGAGTGCAGGAGGAAGGGTTGGGGTGAGCATCTCAGAAATATCTGAATAACAGCACGTGAAAGTATTAATCTATGCAACACAGGTTAAAAAACAACTTTTGATACTGTACACCTTTATTAAAAAAATTTAAGCTCAAAATGTTTCAACATATTTTCCAAGCTCTTTGTTGTCTATTTTTAAAAAGGGGAAGCTTGGGAAGAACTTAAATAACTTTGAGCGATCTGAGGCTGGCACAGTTCTCCTGAATGGTACAGCTACAAAAGAAACGAGAGCTATTTCAGTCTCTGAAGTGTGTTACTCGCTGACTACAGCCTGCAGTCAGTTCAAATAATCTTTCCATTCTCCTTTACAATGTTTAATGCTTAATTAACCTATTGCAGTTTTGCCCTATACTTAATTTTTTAAACACAGGTATTTTGCTCAAAATATATTTTCTGAGAATGAAGTTCATGTGTGGTTTTACTAAATCTTAATGACAAAAGAAACAGCTAGGCTACTTTAAAGTAGCTTCTGAAATTTTCAAGGAAAAAGAAGCAAGTTCATTTTTAAATAAGCTCCAACTGAGACCACAGCGGTCGCTAAATGCATCACCCATCTTTCAGTTCTAGCAGGCTCTGTGAAGAATCAACAGGCATCTTTCCCTGCTAAGCATATGTTCAGCTTGTGGTCTTCTGAGTCTCTCATTCTACTGACTTTTTGCTTTTTTTTGGGTAAGAAATATGATTTTTACTTTCAGAAGGCAGTCTCATTTGCCTGATGTTGAAAGGGTTAATCATCTAGTAATACCAAGTTTAGTCACAGAGTACCACAAATAATGTACCCTGAGGATTCCCATAACAAAATGCTGGGCAGAGAAACGGTTTCTGCTGAATTAACTTTATGAAGCCAGACGTTAGCGATAACTGTTTTGTTATTAAACAGTTTGGCTGTTTATGTCTCTATGATGTTGCTACACATTTAAAAACAATTATAGTGCCTACATAGCACTTTGTGTGTGTTTAAATGTTTTACTATGGTTTTATGACATAAATGTTGTTTTCACATTTTTTACAGGATATAGGAATTGAATCACTATAGACTGGTCTTGAAATCTATATTCTTATTATCCCACTAAATTTGCTTTTATTAGCAAGTGATCTAATGTATTATCTTTTGAATAATAAAACTTTTCTATATAGTATCAGTTTCTCTGTGGAATATGTAATTTCTATGGTATTTTATACCTTGTAGGAAGCAAAAAATATAGGCTTGTTCATTTGTTTATTACAAATACCTAGCTAGAATACTGACATATATTGACTGTTTTGTGCAGGTTTTTGTAGAGTCAAGTCTCTGTTTGACAAGCTCTTAATACTGCTATCTCCAGGTAATGAGCCTGATATCTCACTAGGTGGCAGTATCTCCTCTGAAGGACTTTAATATGGGTCTTTCTTTGGCAGTAGGGACCTTTTGAAGCACCAGCTGCTGAGATGAACTATAAAACCAGGACTCAGACTCAGATTTTTCTGCTCAGTGCTAACCATTCATTATTTTTACATAGTCGATTAAAGTGCTGGAAAAACTTTAGTCAAACTGAAAGGCCATTTCCACAATTGTAGAATTTCAGAAATAGAATTCATATTCATCAGTGGTCTGTCTGCATTGTCACTGTGGTGGCTTTATTTTTCACACCGTGAAACACTCTCCCATAATTTTTCAAATACACACCTTTAAGTTCATAAAATTCTGTTAGAGCCGAGCAATACCGAACAGATAGAGACAGGAGGGTTATGACTTCCTGGCCATCCCCAGGTACAAGGAGCATTCAAGGCTAGCCTGTGCTGGAAGAGATCCATCTCTCAAGCTGATGAGTGCCTGCAGTGTTTATAAAGTACTGTGTTTAGCATAATTTCTGTGTAGTAAATGTTTGCATTAATAACTAAAAATCTTACACACTAGAATTATTTTTAAATTTTTATGAAAATATGGAAAGGTATCATTAGTAAATTTTATATCATGTACTTTCTTATAGAATACTTCCAAAATACCTGAGAAAGATTGTCAGCATTTTACAGATATTGAGTGTACTTTCTTATAGAATGCTTCCAAAATACTTGAGAAAAAAATTATCACCAATTTATAGATATTGAAACTCAGACACCAAGAGAATGGAGGAAATATCCTAAAGCCACATGGCTCTTAGTCAAGCTACCATTTGATTCTAGGCTTTGTGGCTGATGTCTTCATAATAGGATATTCATGTCTAGGTGATATGAATTTAATATCCACAGATTATGTATCATTTAATGTTTTTAATGTATGATTCTAAATAAGGCTCAGATATTATAAATTCCCATGTTTTATGAAATTTTACTATAACAGATAGTGCTGAATATAGGATAGGATTTTAAATATTTATTTTTAGCTTAGAAGAAGAAATGAAAAATTAAATCTGCCATACTTTGAGGCCTGTTGATGCTGCTTTATTGTATTCTGAAATATTTATTATTTCTCCCATAGTGGATTCTTGGCTTTTAAAGCCAGTAACATTCAGTGGCTAAGGAAATGTGAAAAATTTTATCAACATGATGGCTTTGATCATAAACAAGAAGTATGATTTCTCCCCTGGGCCTTGTTTATGCTTAAATGAGTGCATTATCAAGTACAGCAGAAAGGAATGGTGTGCCCACAGTGGTGTGGCAGGGACATCTACGGCAGGGTGGGGACTGCGCCTCTTGACAAAATGCTGCCACTTTGTTCAACCCTCAGCAAATAATGTCTTGTTTAAGCTGTGAAGTAAATGATACTAATATGTACTTAATTTTACCTCCATATGTTATCAAAGGATACAATGAAACTATAAAGCAAAGCTTGAAACCTAGGTGTTAACAAAGTTCATGACCCAGGGTTTAGTAGGAAATGCTTGTGGTTTTTCCGTAGCAATGCATGTCACCTTGTTCAGCTGTAGTGTGTAACAGTGTAATGTGGGATAGGAAGACAGCGGGATTAGAACAGCTCTACTGCAGGGCAGTTGCAGGCAGCCAGTGGGTTTAGGCTTCTAAGCATTTTGGGGGCTATAACATTATTTTAAGTCAGTAGAGTTGCCACCTCCATGTTCCTGACACTTCATCCATTGCTCTGCTATGCCACTGAGCTTCCTGCAGTAACTGGTTCACCTCCAAGGGGTTGGAACCCCAAAAGGAGTCTTTGTATTCTCCAAGCCTACTACAGTACATGCATGTAGTGATTTCTCAAAAGGGGATGAAGGGGTGGGGATGACAATATTAAAACTGTGAGCTTTCAAGACAGCAGGTAAGATCAGAGCTAAGTTTTAACATACAAAATTAAATTATCACAAAGAAGAAAAGCGGGGGGGGGGGGGAACGGGGTTATCTATCTGCAACACGATCTCTAACCAGAGTCTAAAAGTAACGCGGAAACCTCCAGATTATTACAAGCATAGAGCTTGAAGGGAAATCCAAGAGTCATCTATTACGTTACACTGAAAACTATGTGTCTTAAGCAGATGTGTTGATATATGTGTTAGTGTGGGACAGGGGCTGAAGAACTTACAAGCAGCGTCTTTGTGGTCTCTGAGATAGTAGACTTCGTGAATACTTCTACAGACTATTGCAGAGGTCCTCGTCGCAGAATAGGGATGCTGACCTGATGATAAAGTAGGATATTGGTTTGACTGCTTTAAATCCAGCTTTTTATATAAAATGTTAGTGCTCCATGGAAATAAATACCCATATGGTGTGTGGGGTTTTGTCATTTATTCCATTTAGAATATTTTAATAGATTGTTAAATATGTCTTAATACTTTGAAAAAAATTAGTCAATGCCTTTTGCTGTTTCTACCAGTTTAAAAAAATCTATTTTGAAAGAGGAAAAGTAGTACATATTCAGCACATCATAGTACTTAGAAAATATGGTTTAATGGAAAATACAAGAAAAAAAAAGCAGTTAAATCTGTTAACTTGTTACTAGTGCCAGTATGTGTACTTCTTGGCCATCCTTGTGACTGCTTCTCACTTAGGTTAGATGAAATTGTGGTTGGCAAATACAATATCAGAAGATCTAGGAAGTTAGAATGCTAGACCATTCTTAGATGCAGCTTCAAGAACAGCAAGAAAACACCTAAAGGTCAGCAGCACAATTTTCAAAGCAAAGAAGGCAGAGATCATCAAACATGATGCCCATTGAGTCCACAGCCCTTAGTCATCCACTCTAGAGGCAGACCTTCCAACACCCACACAGGAGCCCTTCTCTTTAGTCTTTTCCCACTATACAGAAACTGTCTCACAGAAAAGCAAAAATTGCATATCCTCTTGAAGTGTTTCAGCTTTAGATCCTTGCCAAATCCAACATGGCAGTCTTTGTCATGTTAGCCATTCTGACAGACAGGCTTGCTGCTTTGCCTTTCTCTGATTTGCTCATCCCTCCTGACTGATGGTGTTAAGTCTTTGGAGCTTCTTCAGTATCTGTTTGTCGGTGACCATGTTTTGTTTTTGTTCTAGTTCAGTTTTGATTTGCGAGTTCTGCAGGCAAATGCTCCCAGGCATATAATTCACAGGCTCCCTCCCAGTGTTTGCCCTGCCTTTTAATCAGTTTCACATCTTGAAGTTTGAAATTTTGAAGTACAGATTATCAGTTTGTTCTTTCATGGATTTTAGTTTGTATCTAAGAAATTTTTGCTTACTCCAAGCTCCCAGAATCATTTTCTGGTGCTTCATTCTAGAACTTTCATAGCTATGTTGAATATTTGCATCTGTGCTCCATTTTAATTTTAATACATGGTATGAAGTGTGGATCAAAGTTCATTTTTATTACCTGTGAGTGTCTGACTATACCAGCACCATTTGATGAAAAGTTTGTCCTTCACGGTTACCTTTACTCCTTGTCTAGATATGTCCTGGGTTCGCCATCCTCTTGATCTTTGTATTGTTATGCAAACAGCTAATTGTGTTTAGCTATATCCAGTCAATTTTTGTATATTCCTTTCATGTTTTGTGACCTAACTGAAGTCACTTTCTAGTTCTAGTGACTTATGAGGTTTCCTTTTTTTTTTTTTTTTTTGCTTGCTTGCTTTTATTCCATACAGCTGTCTTTACATAGATAGAGGCCTAGTATTTGGGAGTAAATGCCTTCTTTAATTTGGTTCCCTAGGTGCCTCTGTTTTCTCTCTTGTCTTATGTTACATAGAAAAATATTTCTTGCAAAGAAACCTGTTCCTTTTTTTCATTATTTGGTGATTTCAACCAAGAAAGTAAATCTGGTTCCTTTTATTACATTTTTATCCGGAAAGATAAAAACTCATTATCATTTGCTTTTTAATTTCTATCATCGTACTGCTTCATTTGTCGTAGGATTTAAATGTTCATGAAACAAAGTTGATCCTATTTCTTCATAAGAATGTTGGTTGTTCTTGACCTTTTCTGACTCACATACTCTATAATGGATAATCTATGAAATATAATAAATCCTTTTCTGAAACATACGCACACACACACCTCGTGTTTCTGTCTCTAATTTAAGAGTACACACAGTCACTTGCTCATCTATTCCATGTTTTAATTTCCTCACTTTTGTTTTAGAAAGTTCTCCATTTCAAAGTTGTATAATTAAGGAAATAGTTTTTAAGTGATAATTTTATGTGTTTTTTCCTTTGGGGTGATTGTTTAAGAGTCACTTAAACAGTAAGTGAGAGAGTGCATCTTCTGAGCCATAAAGTGCAGGGACACTGATCTCATCAGGGTTACTGTAGCTGACCACTGTTCTCAGACAGCATCCACCATTTAGGCCTCCGTCTCTGTCCAGGGGTTTAATCCAAAACAAAAATCACGTTAAGAAATAAAGCCAACTATGAAAGTACTTTCTCATGCAACATCTCCAACATGAAAAGACAAAATATCATAAATATTTAGTAACAGGAGAATAAGAGCTTTAAAATTCTAATTCTTAGGTATTATAAACATTTAAAATGGTAATTACATTATAAAAATTTGAAACCTTTTGTATTTAAATTGACAAAAGTTGAAACTATATTTACATTTTTGGTATTTTCATAGAGTAGATACATGTATAAAGTTAGAAGAGATAAAAATATAAAAATAGGTTTAGGTTTATGGGTTTGTGAATGATTATTTTTATCATTTTGTATCACTATTGGACATTTGTGATATATATGTATGTGAATATGTATTAGGCTTGTATCTTAATTTGCATTCCCTTCAAAGCTCAATTATAGAACTTCTTGGCATGAAATTGTTTATAAATTTTCCTTGATGTCATATTGCCTTCAATTTTTTTATCTTGCCACTCATGTTACCTTCTTGTTATCTTGAAATTAAAATGTACTGTTCAGTTTCTGGAAATTCGTTAAATGTTATCATCTCATGGCTTAAGTATCTCATTACCTTTTTGCTCTCATTATTTGAACTAATTTTAGGTTCTTTTTCCTCTTTAGTGGCCCAACAAGAGGCTGAAATGTTCAAACGCTATAATGGGACGCTCCCATTGCCTGGCATCCATCAAAGTCAGGATGCCTTATGCACCTGTCCTAAGCTGCCGCATCAAGGGTCTTTTCAGATTGATGAATTTGTCAACACTGAGAATAATTCATCAAGAAAGATTCAGCTCGTGAAGCAGAGACTCGAAACTGTCACAGTATGTTTGTTTCATTTAGTTGTTTGTTTATTTGTGGTAGTTGAAAATTTAAAACTATTTTCTTTGCCATGCCAATAAAGATTAATATAAGGAAGCTAGTTAATTTTTTAAAACGTGGTTTTCTTATTCTACGTAGTTCTCTCCAAGTACTAGTTCTGAAGTCATTATTTACAGTATACAATCCAAATTTTGGTCGATTCATCATGCTGTCAGAACTTGACATTTCTTTAAAATCTAGCTCAATACATAATAAGGAAGGGTTCTGAACCAAATTATCATAGCTAGCACTTATCCCACACATATGATTTACTGTCCTAGGAAAGGAAGAGAAACGGCCATGCCAGTGATGCACAAGAGGATCGTTGAGAGTAGGGCTGTTAGGGTTAGACACTTTGAATTCTCACTGCCTCGACTTCTACAAGTGATTCTCAACCTTCCCAATGCAGCAACCCTGTAATACAGTACATGTTGTGGTGACTCCAACCATAAAATTGTTTTTATCGCTACTTTGTAACTGTAATTTTGCTACTGTTACAAATTGTAAATATTTTGGAGAAAGGTTTGTTGAAGGGGGGTCACGACTACAGGTTGACAGCTACTGTGAAACTACTTCATAAAAGAATAGGTAATATGTAAACAAGATATTTCTGTCTGTGCATTCAATGCTTAGGTTTGACTGTTTCTTGAACTTCCAGTGTACCTCAAAGTCATCTAACTCTAGCAGGCTTATTACAGCACTAATTGCCAGGCTGTATTCCTGCAGGCTTTGATTCAGTATGTATGGCTTAGTCTATGTGTTTTCATTTCTGGCAAGTTCCCAGGTGCTGGTCAGAGCACTCTCTGTTGAGAACAGATATCTGGTTCAGTCCCAGCACATAAGAACATCATGCACTGACATTGTGTTCCCTTATCTACGCCATGACCTCCTGGAAGGCAGTTCTGATTGCTTTTTGCACGTCCTGGGTTTGCTTGGTTGATTTTCACAATTTAATATAGGTGGGTGATTTGATTTGGGAAACATTTGAATTCCTAAACTTGCCTTCTATAGAGAATCTGTTAATTATTTTGATTCTTTTCTGTCTTCCTTTTTTGGGGGATACATTAAGTACCTTTAATTATCTTTCCAATGTCCCCATTTTGACATTTTCCCTAACACTTTGCCTTCCTATTTTCTGAATGGTATTGTACCGTTGCCACCATGTATTGATAAAGTGCTACTAAGGGCTTTTGTCTGTGGCAGTTCCCTTGTCCCCTACACTTGGGTGCTACCTTTGCAGGATGTGCTGACCAAGTATACCTTGTAAAATTGGAACAAAGAAAATTTAACTATCTCAATAACTAGTTGATTACCTACTATGTTCAAGATATTCCAGAGAAAACAAATGGCAAACTGTGACCTCAGTTTGTATCAAATCTTCTAGGCAGTGACATAAGTTTACATACAAACACACATACAAGCTATATAATGTTAGGCAGTCCTAATAATATAATGTGCTCACATTGACTCTTTATTGTGGCAGATGAGAAACATTGGCTCTACGGTGTTTGGTATACTTGTTCTATACACAAAGCAGCTATTAGCTATTTGTGTTCAAAAGACAGGTTTCATAGATTTTTGCAAGTATAAACAATACACAGAATCCCTTATTATTTTAAAAGAATTTCTGCATAGGAAGCTACAGTAATTAATTTTTGTGTGTGTGGCGGGTGAGCTTTGCCTTGTGCTAAATGATGTAGTATAATTTTGTATGTAAGCTATTGCATAAGACCAAGAAGTCATTAAGTTAGAAGCAGAAGAAAGTACTGCCCAAACCTATAGAAGCTTTAATGGAAAAAAGAATAGTCAACAACGTTAAGGATGTCAGGATAAATTGCCCTCATGGTCAATACAAACTAGACAGGGATAGCAGTAGAACCACATAAAGTCAATCCATTAGAAATAAGTTTGGGTCATAACTCAAAAAGTTTAACTCATTCTTGGTACTGGAAGGTTTATTTGGAAGGTTATGTTGTCTATTGGGGTATTGTTCCCCACATTTTATGGTAACTTCATCTCAACTCCATTGATATTTATGTATATATTTTAGGAAGTTTCTACAGTAATAGACTTCCTTGAGGCTTTTTGAAAGTTCTTAGTGTTAGTTATCCTTCCCCATGTTGCCCCTTGTCCTCCCATTTCCCACCCCCACTTAACCCCCTTTTCTGCTTTCTACATTATTCTACTATAACGCCATATTCCCCGTTCTTTCAAAGACCCCCTTCCTTCCCAGTTCATCACTAGCTCCCTAACCTGTGTTGGTATTCTAAATGAGATTCATACATGGAGCTGCATGAGACCTGCTGGACAGATGGAAGTCAGAACCTAAAATGTGTGGCATTCATGGAGAAATGATACTCTCTTTTAAAGCAAGAGTGCCATGAAATGGATGCTGTTAGTGTCAGGACTGGGGAGATGACTCGGTGGATAAAGTGCTTACTGCACATCATGAGGACCTAAGTTCAGTTCCTCAACATCCACATTAAAGCTGCCATAATGGTATGTGTCTTTAATCCTAGCACTGAGTAGCTGGAGACCACAGGATTCATAGAGTTCACTGGCGATCTGGCTAGCCAACCACTGATCTCTAGGTTCATTGAAGACCTGTCTCAAAAATTAAGGTGGAGAGCGATAGAGGCAGAAATTTGACATTGATCTCACATCTCCAGATATACACAGTGCTGTATACATCTGCCTACAAATGTGCATCACACATATACAGTTGTGTGCATTAACACCAGGCATTGGTGGTACACGCCTTTAATCCCAGAGCTTGGGTAGCAGAGGCAGGCAGATCTCTGTGAGTTCGAGGCCAGCCTGGTCTACAGAGCTAGTTCCAGGACATACTCCAAAGCAACAGAGAAACCCCATCTCAAAAAAAAATTTTACAATTGTGTGCTTTAACAAGAAAAGGATAATCAATTCAAAACATCAGAAAGAGCAACTTAGATTATGTGTCATTACATATAATAAATCAGAATTTTTGTTAATGAAGTCAAAAAGTAGTCCTGAGAATTTCATTGAAAAAGACACCCTGGCTAAGATAAAAAGAAAGAAAATTCAAAGACAAATTTTAAAAGTCTTTGCATTGCAAATGGTAAAAGGGAAAGTTGATACTTAAAATCCCCAGTGAATAAGATAAGATGGAGGACTGATTTCAGTAGTGTGCTTGAAAACACATGTAAAGGAATGATAAGTAGCTCTAAACTATGCCTGCTTTGTGACTGTCTCTGAAAGTGAGGGTTCAGATTCCTCACTTCAACTGAATTGTTAAGATTCAATCAGATCCTAAATGTAAATCTAAGTTGTCTAAGATGTAGTACAAGAATTATAGTTGTTACTGTAGATGAGAACAGAGTTGTGTATATGAAATGATTGTGTTGATTATTGATTAGTGGTTTTAAGAAACCAAACCATGTATATAAAATGGTAGCTACCTGCCAAGAAGTGTTTCAGCTACTCTCAGACTTCTCCAGATGAGCAAGGTAAAAGAACAAAGGATAATTAAGACAGTTCTTGTCTTACTGGATATTTATTTAATTAGATCATAAAGTTGAATAATATAAATATTATGAAGCAAATTCATAAAACTAGATGCATCAGATGGGAAAAAGACAGTATTAGAAAACATTAAGTGTGCACTTAGCCAGTGTTTCCACTATGAAATCCCCTGCTGTAGTGACAATCTGGTAGAAAAAAACCCAAGCAGGATCTTTTGTACTAAATACTTTATCAGGGGTCTTGAGCTCCTGTGGCTTTCTCAAGACCTGAAAAACCTATGTTAGGTCACACATGCAAGTAGAACTTTACTGACCAAGAAATTAAGTGAGCAATTAATAACTAGGGAGATGGGCATAAAGTCCAGTGCCAGAGCCCAGGATTTGATATGCATCACTTCACCACACATACCCCAAAGCTAAGAATATGTGCTGACAAATATTTCTCTTATGTAAATGTATAAAAGACTTGCTAGTCTTAAAACTAGTGAGTAATTCTCCCCTGGCATAAATAAATTTAGATTTCTATCTAATAAATATAAATATATATGTATGTAATATATAACATGAAACATACACATACATACATACATACATGTGGCTAACGACAACATGGAAAAATGTTAAGATAAATTAAAGTAAGTCTCATTATGTTGTAAAAACTAAGACCTCAAAGAAACGGTTAAATGAAACAAGCTTATTACTTCCAAGTAGAAATCAATATTTCATCACCATATTCTGATGTTTCTTTCTTACCCCTAAGTGCCAAAGAACCCAGGTGTCATCAGGAAAATAGTGAAAACGGGGAGAAGGAGGATGCTTAGTTCCTGCCATGTACTGTTACTGTAGCTCCCCAGGCTCTCTTGTTTCAAAACCAAGTGCTAAGATGGATTAAGCTTGAACATTCTAAAGAATATGTATCCTCTTTGCCCTTGGTCCTTTAGATAGTGTTAGCCAGGGGCTCCTTGAAGACCAGTGCTCATAGGTCTTCTCTTCAGTTGGCATGGAGCCTGGCTCTTCATGCATGTTGTACCCTCCCTCCTCTCTCGATGCACACCTTGACCACTTTTAAAACAAGTCTGCCAGGAATGGCACTGCAAGACTAAGCCCTTGCCATGCTTCTCCCTTCCTCGCCCCCCTTCTGCGTAGAAGGTGTACGGGGTGCCAAGCACACTCTGCGCTGGGTTTAGATGTAGTTGGAAAGGAGAGCAGAGGTGATTTTGTTTGTTAACTATTAATGTTACTCTGTTAAAATTAAGAACATAATTTTAAATTGTCTGTTTCATTGTTTTAGTTCTAACATATTTTAGTGTTTTGAATATCATCAATCAGATGTGTTCCACATCGATGTGATACTTTTTAATTTTTAAAGAAAAATGTAGCCTTCGGTAGAGACAAATAATTTTAAAAGGACCCCTTGTCTAGTACCATGTGTGATGGAGTTTTTATAGACACAAGAACCACTAATGACTAGGCACAGTGACACTTTCCTCCACTCTCTGAGTCTGAAAATTGACATCCTGAAGGTACCTAGCTCTTTATGGCATGCTTTCTGATATTACTTTATATAAAGGAAAAGAAAATTAAATAAGTGTAAGAAAAATAATGACAAAAATATTTTTGAGAAATTAAATCCAAGACAGGAGAAATAAATTAACAATTTTACAAAAGAGACTTTATATGTTCTTAGTTATTCAGCTTTGAGCACATATTTCTCTTTTAAATTAGACAGTGCATGTCTTGGGTTGCCACTCAAGCTGCCTTTGGAAATAAATCTTTGTCCAGTGTCTGAAAAAAAGAAAGAAAGAAAATTTATTGTTTTTCCTGTCAGAGAGAATTTACTAAACTTTTGTTTATGTTATGTATGATACTTTTTTTTTTCCAGTCTGCACATAAAGTGTGTAAGAATGAAATAAGATGCATTCCTACCCTATGGTAGCTTCATTCTTTTTGTGCTTTACAAGAATTTTGGGTGGTGGAATTTCCTACCTTTTGACACAGTGTCTTTTCTCATGTTTCTTATAACTATATTAGTAGATTCCAAATACCATTTTCATTGTAGATTCCTCTAGTTATAGAGGATAAATAACTCATCATAGCTTTTTGCTACTAAACTAGCAATGTTTTCTAATATAACTCAGCTTTAAGGTATTATTTGTATATATTTAAATTATATAACAAATTTATCTCAGCCAGCATTTAATAGGTGTTTACTCATTAGGAAAGGACATAGAAGTAGATGATAACCTGATCCTTAGAGCATTGCCATTCAGTTATCATATAAGTCATTTGTTTCATAGTTTGCCTACCTGACAGCTGCCCCCACAGTAATAACCTAAAAGGCAGTCTCCAGCCCAGGAGAGGCCTCTCAGGGATACAGTTCATTATGAATTTTCAGACTCAGAGATTTTTCTTCATGACTACATTCACAGTTGCCCAGAATCTTGGGTACCTGCTAGGATTAACTAGTTCAACAAGTAACTGATCTGTTGACCTGAATCAATGAAAACACATCTTAAGATGACAGGCAGACCTAGCTCTCTAGGGGCTGGACCACTCAAGACTACCCCAGCTTTCACATTAACCTGAGCTCGGCTTAGTGATCACAGAAAAGCTTGCCAAGTAGAACCATAGAAGTAACAATTGAATCACTTTAAAAACTATGTATTTCCATTTTAAGAAAAGTGAATTTTTTTCTATCACATAAGCAATTCATTCTATAGTTAATGATAAGTAATGTGTTTTGTTATTAGTAATTCTTGCTATACTGTATTTCTGGTATTTTTGTATGTGTTTTGACTAGTTAATCCTCAAATATTTAAGGACAGTAGAGGGTGTTAGTAGGTTTGAGAGCAATGGATTCACAGACTGAAGAGTGGAGCTGAGATTCGGGCTAGGGATCAAGCTGAGCTCCCAGTTCTCCTGAATTATGGCAGCCTTTAAAGGCAGGGTCTGAAAAGGGAAACCCAGAGCTCTTCTTTACATTGTTTGTTCATTTGTTTGTTCTAGACTTGAGGCTGATGGTTGGATTTTTTTGTTGCTGTTGTTTGATTTTGCTTTTCATTTATGTTTTGGTTTTAATGTAGCAGACTGATGATAAATGCTAATTGATTCTAATTGGAATTGAATATTTTTTGTTGCCTTTGTGGTAGCAAACTTTCTACTTGTCCATTATTCATTGATTTCTTCTACTTAATTTTCAAAACTGATAATTATGGCCTTATCCCATGAATTATAAGTAGCCCCTTTTTTAAAATTGCTTGTCACATGATCATCTTTAGTATTTACAAGATTTTTATCAGACTAAAATTGCTAATTTGGACATTGTAGGCATTGATTCCATTCATAATAATAACTATGTACTTTAGCTAATTCAGAGTTTGTCTTTTTGGGCTATTTCTGTGGTAGGACAGAATTTTGATATTTACGCCAAGCTTATTAAGGAGGCAAATCTTTCCTGAGGCAAACAAAACTGGGCCCTCAGAAGTTTTGGTCATTGCCTTTTCATTGACAAGTTGGTCTTACTATAAAATGTCATTAAGTCTCTTGAATTCACACTATTTGCAGTTCATTGGAAAGACTGCAGAGTGACAATACAGGGTGATAGAGACTTTCAAATGCTGGGGTTGATAATTAGAAGAGTGACAACTGAATGTTTTGAAGAATCAATACTTTATTTAAATAAAATTATGAATACTTCTTTATTGTACTGTATTTCTTTTAGGAGGTGATACGATCCTGTGCTGCAAAAGTAAGTAGTTTTTATTACCAGGAAGACAACTTTAAAATTACAGTATCTTTTATCATATACCAGAGAAATGGGATGCACTGTTGTGGACTTGACAGCTTGTATAAAAATTGACCCAATGTGTACTTTTTTTATTGATCTTCCCGATTTACCAAAATTATAATACTGGAACCCCAGAATTCATTCAGAAGAGTATTCTTCAACTAAATTTAGAATCCTAGCAATTGGGATATAATTTCAGTAGAGGTCTAGCATACAATAGGAATCCGCTTTTTACAAGCAAGCCCACTTTTACACATAGTTAAGGAGTCAGAGTGACAGTTGTTTACATCCTTCCCTCCTCGTCTGCCATTTTCAAAATTTCTCTGAATAGACTATCACTTACCAATGAATAGTTTGTCACATAGTAAGATGAGACATCCAGAAGGCAAAGGATTAGAACGCGTAGAAGAGACACGCTTACAGTGAAGAAAGTATTTTGTTGACTGGGCGTCTGCAGCCATGTACAGGAACATGGAGTAAGATAGGCTTTTTCTCCATGAGGCATGTCAGAAAGTACTAGGCTTACCCTCTCACTGAGCTGCTTGGTATCAGTCAGGACCCATCACATTTTTACCTAATTATCACAAGTCGACCGGATGTTGAATATTGACAAGAGGAAGGAAGACTGGGAGGGGAAAAGAGAACAAGCTATATTCTGATTTGGCTGCAGATGTTCAGGAAGCTTGCTCCTGATAGCAATGATTGTTGTAGTGATTATAGTTCCAAGATTACGAAACCTTAAGTGTGTGATATATGTAAAACTGGCAGCAGTGCCCTGACTAGGCCAGACCGCTCCTCACCTTCCCCTCCCTCTCTCAGGGTGTGCCATACCCTTTTCTTTTGATGCTGTCTAGATGTCAGCTGAGTCAGAGACTGCATAAGTCTAATCAGTATTTACGGAGAACGTCCTCAACTAATCTGAAAACTCACTAAAAGTGATAGGTAGTATCCCTAGCTTTTAACAAATGTAGAGTAAAAACTCAGCAAATCAAAATTAGGAAAGATTTACATTACTAATACCTTTATTGTACAATTTTAAATAGCTTTTTATTGTGATATAATTTATAGATCATAATATCCCTTTTAAAATTTATTCTTCTCTCATAAAATACATCCGGTTCATAGTTTCCCCTCCCTCCACTCCTCCCAGCCTCCCCCACCTTCCCTTCCCCCCAGATCCACTCCTCAAGGCTGTGTTTTCCTTCAGAAAAGAGCAAACCTCCCAGGGCTATCAACTAAACATGGCCTAACAGGGTGTAATAAGCAAGATGGCTCAGTGGATAAAGGCACGTGCTACAAAAGAGCTACCTCTAAAAGCTGTCCTCCTTTCCCAATGCACACTGTGTCGCACCATACATGATAATACAAAAATCATAATTTCAAAATGAATGTAAGGTCACTGTTTTAATTATATTCAGAATTATGCAAGTCCCCTTCCCAAAGACACCTAATGTCTGTTAGCAGCCCTTTCCAATCCATAAACATAACATGTATCCATATAGACTCATGGTAACCGTTAATGTTTGTTCTGTAGATTTTTGCATGTTGGGAACTTCATTTAAATGGAAGCATATAGGGTGTTGTCTTTGGGTTTAGGAGTTAGGGTTTTAATTTTATTTTTATACAACATTCTACTCTGTAATACAAGCTGCCCTGATGTTCACTGTGTAGCTCAGGCTGGCCTCCAACTCATTGTGATCCTCCTATCCCTGTCTCCAAAGTGCTTGGATCATAGGCATGAGCCACCATGCCTGGCTTTAGTATGGGGCCTTTTATGACTGGTGTCTTTACTTAAGGGCGTCAAGGTATCTCCATTTATACTGGGAGTTGGTAATTTTTTGGATCACATGATAACTATGTTTAACATTTTGAGGGACTCCCCATGAGCACTACTTTTTTTTTACTGAATATTCACACTTACATTGCATTTTCCCACCTGCTCATCAGTGTATCAACATTTGGGTTGATTCTACCTTTTAGCTTTAAGACTAATTCTATTATGACCATGTGTTGGGATAAACAAAGTTTGGTATAGACCTATGTTTTAATTTCTCTAGCTTTTAAGATGGAGAATAACTGGAGGGGTGGGGACTGTTCTCTAGGGGAGGATCATGGAAGATTTCCCAGAAACATTTAACCAAGACTAAAATCCTAAACTAGGAATAAGGATGCTGGGCTATTTAAGGATCAGAAAATGTTACTTTGCTTAATGAATGTCCAAAGGCAAGCAAGGAGGTGACAAGGAGTAGATTGTTTATGTGTTTTATGTGTCCTCATGGCAAAAGAGTTAGTATGTTGTTTTAGAGAAACAGTTCAGGGTGAATAGGAGAGTAAGGTCTTGCAAGCACAATGATCAGCAGGCAGTTACACTGGTCCTAGAAAGAAGAAATGCTGGGAAAACCTATACTAACAGCATGAAGTTGCAAATAGTGAACCGATTTAACATAATGTTTAGTTTAGTGTTTGGTCCATATATTTTGAAGATAGGTCTTCAGGTATATCCAAGTGTGATTAAAGAAAAGAAATGGGGGGCATCTTCTATTTTGGAGCTTTCAGCAATTGTGTAGATGCTGCTGGTGGGTTTTGATTAGGTGAAGAATGCTGAGCAGAAGGAGCAGGTGTTAGGAGTAGAGTGTGGGACATGCAGATAACTGAAGTGGATAATGGCTGTGTGAGTCTTATGTTCGGGAGAGAAAGGGAATCTTTTTAAAACGAGCTTTAACATCAGACAAGGGTTGCTATGGAGACAGTGTAGATGAGGATGTGGTACCTGAGAAGGCAAGTCAAGAGGATTTTATAGAGCATTTCAAAAAGAGGAGTATTTAGCTGTCCTATGCTGTGAAGAGAAGTGGTAAAGACAGAACAGAGTTGACTTTTGTATTTGACAAGATAATGGCTCTGGTTACTTTTCTTAAATGCACCCCAAAACACATTAATAGTGGGCTAAAAATGGAGCAGAAATATGCCAGATTGCAGAGGTGGGCCAGTCTTTTCAAGGTGTGTGTCATACTGGGGGAGCATTTGATGAATATTGAAGTTGTTTGCTATTGTGAATAATTCAATGGGAATTTAGCCATTGATAATGTCCCACAGAGGTGGTAATTAATGGAATGCAGTTTTTAAAGAGTGGGAGGTAATAGAAGCGCACGTTCTCACCACAGATCTGGCTTTAGGAGAAGGGAATCTCCTTCTTACTTGGCAAGTAAACTAGGTGGATGCACAGATATAGATTTGATGATGGGGAGACTAGAGGTTCACATCTGATTGCTTTCCATGCAGTAGTTTGGGTTAGGTTCTTGTGAATTAATGTAGAAGAAATAACATGAAGAATTTCTTCATATGAATTTATAAATTACAAATTGCCTGTGCTTTCCTTTCCTTAGAATTGGATTGAAGTTTATCAGTAGTGATTTTTGTCTGCATCTGTTTCCATTATTTTTGTGTGTGTGACTTCTCATAAATTCAAACATTATAAACAAAAATTCCACAACAAAAAAAAAACTGACTTTCCCATGTTCTCAGACGTATTTATTCATACCTGGCATATTTTGTAAATTAGTTTATTCTATCTTCATGTATAATTAACCCTGCCTGTCTTTTTCTAATATTAGACCATCAATTACTTCAAAAGAATCTTTTCACTTTCCTCTTCTTTTACTAACCTGTAAATCATAGTAACATAAGTATTAAGTTTATATAATTTTGTTTCCACTTCTAATTCTTGCATATCTGTCTCTCCAAATTTCTATGTAAATATCTTGAAGCCATGGAACTTCATCTTTTCAAAAATAGTATCATCTCTTATCCTATATTAATAAAAATAGTCAATTAATTTAATTATTTTGGGTAATATGTGATGAGATTGGGCATGTGTAAGGGTATTGTGGCCATAGATTGTGATTAACACAATAGTATGGAGTAAAATTAAAGGGGCTGGGGAGGTGACTCATTCGGTAAAGTGCATGCCACAGAAGTCTGATGACCACTGAGTTAAGATGTGCAGCATCCATGAAAATGCTAGGCACTAGGGAGGCCAAGGCAGCAGGGAAGCTTATTGGCTCGGTAAAGAGCCCTGACTCAAAACATAGGTGAACATTAACTAAGAAAGACACCTGATCTCTACCCTTGCTCTCCATCATTTGCATATACCCCCATGTATGCATATATACTCGCTGGCATGAACCTGTGCGTGCGCCTGTGCGCGCACGCGCGTGCACACACACACACACACACACACACACACACACAATGCCGTAAAGTGATGTCTTGAAATGTACTATACCAAAAACATGTTTTTAAAAATATTCAAATGATAGAAATTTCAGAGACTATGACTTTAACTATATGTGTGCATATGTATATATATATATATATATATGTGTGTGCGCACACATACACACACACACACACACACACACATATATATACATATATATATATATACACATACATACACACACACAACTACATAACTAATTCAAGGCCTGGACTATATGAGACCATGTCTACAAAAATTTAAAAATAGTGTCTATATACATCTTTTGTATATGTTCATCATAAAGAGAATGAAATTGATTTGAGTAGAATAGTATTTTGAGAGTTTATTTCAGTTATTTACAAAGGTTTTAAAAATAATTTTAAAAGTGTAATTTCTTCCTGGCATTTGGAAACTAGATAAGAACCAGTTAATCTTTATTGATCTGAAGATATGGTAAAGTCTGCTTGGGTGGGCTATGGTAGTTGGTGGCCCCTATGTGTAGGTGAGGACCAGTGTGGAATGAGTCAAGAACCCTGCCCGGTCCCCTAAGAGAGAGTAGCTGCGCTTCCTAGAGAAAGGCGAGGCTACCTCTATCTAAGACAAGATTTTATAGATTTAAGAAACAGAATTAGCAGCTGAAGTGATGATTTAGAACTGTTCCTACCAGGGGCTCTTGGAGGTGAGGGAAGAAGAGGTCGATGCATCTAGCAAATAACATTTGTGATGAATGGGTGGATTCCATGGATGGCAGGAAGAAGCAGGAAAGGGTTAGAGCAGAGTGGTGGACAGCAAGAGCCCTAAACAGTGTGCTGCTCGGCCATTCACTAAAGCACTATGTGGACATGACCACAGTTGAAATGAGCTGAGGCATTGCTTCTGTGTTGTTTTCCAAAGAATTGTTCTTTTAATGAAGCCCAAGGGAGTTCCTGGGGTAGAGGGAGAGCTTTTGTTGGTTTAGTGTTTATTTTGTCCTAAGTAGACAGGTCTATGTAATGTTTCTTTGGAAGATCCATAGTGAAACCTGTGAGAACTTGAAGAAGTAGCCTTGAGTAGAACCACCCTTCTCCTGATGCTGAAAGAGAAGAAAGTAAAGCAGGTTCACGAAGCGCAGTGTTTCATAGGTTTAGAAGTCAGGAATTCAGGCCATTCACGATGAATTTTCCCTGTGAAGTGGGACATTGGCTGAGAGAGGTGGAGGTAAGGGCTTAGAGAAAACCAAGAAGCCGTGAGGTGGGTTGCCTTATTTGTAGGGGTTGGAGAATCGCATCAGTAATCTATGAACCACAAGTCCTTGGTATCCATTGCAGGCTCAGGCAACTCTAACTATGGAAGGGAGCATCTCGGTAACTGCTTCACATTTGAATTCTTGTGTTAATGCTGTAATGAACTGATGTAAGAGGTTACAGAGTAAGGATTTCTTGCACTTTACTATTGTAAACTTTTTTATTCTACTCATTACAGTTTCTCTGTCCTAGCTTATAAAGAAAACATCTGAGTCCTTAGGTCATGTTTAGGTTTTTCCCTAAATACTATAAACTACTCCTTTTACACATTTCACTATCCTGCAAACTAAAGTAGCATAGTTACTCTCAGAGTATGTTCTGAGATAGAAAAATGGGAAAGACATGAATTTGTGACCCTTTATCAAGATAGCATCAGTGTATTTTCAGTTTTAATTTTAAACTAAGTTTTGAAGAATCACTGAAGGTTGAAAATTCACAAAGCTCTAGTTCTGGTAAAAGTGATATATGATCTAAAATTAGCTGATGGGATTAGACTTGTAAATATGCAAGGGTATGAAGGTTCTATCTTTCCTAGGGGTTTTAAATTTTAGTTACTAAAGGAGAAACTAATTATTAACGTGATTTGCGTTCAGTTTTGTGTTGAGGCAGTAAGATTTTTAAACATTTTCCACTACTGGAAAATGAGTGCTTATAGACTGAAAGAGCAGGAAAAACAGTTTTGTAACTAACTTGGCAAAAGATCCAGGTTTTGTTTTTTTGGTTTTTTCTTATTATAAATTTACTCAAATTTCATGCTTTTAGGTTACTTCAGTATGGAGGTATCAAACTGACTTTGGCAAACTGTGGTTTTGCATGAAGCAAGCAGAAAAGTGTGTTGTGAAAAGAAGGTTGATTGGTATAGGGTAGACTATCTTAGCTAACCTTACTGTTGTTGTAAAGTTATTAAGCAATCTTTTCCACAGCATATATTTCAGAAACAAAGGTTGCTTCACTCTATTTAGTGGTTATTATTATTTTTCTTCCTCTAAATTAAATTCTAAATACATATCAGATCACCTGAAAATCTTTTGATTTCAAATTTCAAATCCCCATTAATAATAATTCATAGCTATGGCAAATCTTATAACTTGAGTTACCAGCTCTATAATGTTGCTACTCATCGCTTTATTAACATTTGAATGGTATCCAAAAAAGGATGTCAAGAAAGATCAGAATCACAAAAATTGCTTGGGGAAAACATGTAATTATTCTACTCCCCCGACACACAACATTAATGTCTTTTAAGAAAAGTGTTGGGTCTTATTTGAGCAGAGGCATTTAAGCACTCTGTTCTAACTTTCTGCTATTTGTTTTTGTTTTAGCACAGATGAAGCTCTAAAGAGGAAAATATGAAAGATACATTCTGTGTATATCAACAACCATGGCATAGATACAGACTTATAGTTATATAATTACAACCCTAGTATATACCTGTTCATTTGCATCATACTTTAGATACACTGTTTAACATATCTGAAAATAATTTTCAAGAATACAAAAGTAAAACTGACAAGCGGTTCTAGCAAGAGGTAATTGATTAGGTGATAAATGTTTTCATAGGACTTTCACTTAAAGTAGAGAACTCTGAAATATTACTTATTGTATCATCTACATTAAATTAGCCTGATTGTCTAATGGATGATACTAACACCTAATATTTATAGAGTACTACATTTTTACCATACTTTATAATTCATTTTTACAGATAGAAGTAGTTGCTTTGTTTAGAATACAGACAGAAACCCTGCCATTGAACAATACCACCAGTTCTATTTAGTCTGTTTACTGTATTATCTAGTACTTGATAGTTAACATGTAAATAGAATATTACCATACCATTATTGACACATTCTTAGTAAGGCATGCATAGAACTTTTATTGAGATCTCCATTTATACGTGATAGATGCATCTCAAAGGTTTTCTTTGTTATTTTAGTAGCATAGAGTTGAGTATAATAATTTTGGCCAGAACTTAATAATGGATCCTGAAAATTTTTCCAGTTTAGTAATCAGTTAACACTGATGTGGTTTTGCCTCCTTCTAATTATTTTGAAGAATATTTTTTGGCTGCGAATATACCTCTGGGGTAGGGCATTTGCCTAGCATGTGCAAAGTCCTGATTTGATTCTGATAATCATACCATGAAAAGGTTTTTTTTTTTAATGTCTTATGAGATGACATAGTGATTTTGGTTTTCTAGAACTATATTAATGTATGGTCTTAAGTTTTCTCCAAATCTGTTAAAGCTCTTTGTTCCTAGCAGAGAAGTGAATCTAAGATACACAGCCATTGTCTGAAAAACAGATGCATTTGCACACATGTAACTTATAAGACAGATTAAAAAGTATATAACCATAGCCCAACACTAGCTTATATTGAACACATAATTTTAAAACACTAATGCAGTAAAAATCCTAGTGAAGTTATGTGTGGCTTTGATTATTTAAAAAAATGTAAATAAAATAAAAAGGAAGAAATTTTCATATAGCATTATTTACAAATAGCATGTTATCTTTGCATTTTGTTAATACAAAGGTTATTATTTGCAATGAATTTTAAAACTCATGCTGTCTCAATTTGTAAAAAAAAATAGGTGATTATGTTTTATGAATGAAATTTTATTGAATGAAATTTTCATAATAAGCAAGATTAAATTTTCCTCAAATAATTATTTCTAAGATAAATTTGCTAATAAACTTTTTAACTGTTTTAGTGAACTATTCACATGAAAATGCACTTGTTATGCATTTAATTTCGTGGGACTATTATACTCAAAACAATCATGGTATGTTTTACATGTTATAGGATATTATATTTACTTGTAGAAATTTTGCTTGATTATCATTTTAAGATATAGAGTGTTTTTATGCCATGGATACTTTCTCATAGCAAGTTAGATTGTAGTGTGTTCCATCTATCATCATGATACATAGAAACATAAGTAGCACAGGTGCTTTCTGTCCCATTTCGAAAAAGGACTTCTCTGCTATTTTACAAAAATAGTAGAGAAATGTGTGTAGGAAACATTTGAACTCTTTCTTATTTAAAAGCAATCAAGGAGTCACTTTTATTTCTGCATCTCTTTGAAACTTAAGATCCCTGTTTTTTAAATTGTTACATAGTGTCAATTCCAGAATAAATAGATTAGAAAGAAAATTATTTTGATAGCCATCATCTTTACTCCTTCATAAAAACTTGTCCTGTCTCTTAAACTGTAAAAAATTAACCATCCAAGTCACTACCATTCCCCTCAATCTGTCACATGTCTAGATTTGGATACTAAGCAAATATTTTTCATCTAGTTTTTGCATCGGTAACCCAAGAAATTTAAGGTGCTTTCTGGTTTTCCTTTCCTACTGCAGGTCAACAAAAATCTCTCAGTGACTTCACCACCACCAGGCCCTCCAAAGAGGCCAAGGGTGAAGCAGTCATTTGTGCTGACCACTGATGAGATTATCCATCAGTTTGGACTCCCTCAAACCGGTGAGCAGCTTTCATGCTTTGCATATTCATTAAATGCTCAATGCTATTGTTTTAATGAATGTACTTACTTCTATTCAGAAATAACACTTGTGGCGATCTATTAGTCAATTTTTACACTTGATGCTCTCTTGACATATCTCTCTCTCTCTTCCTCTCTCTCATCATAAAAATGATTTTAAAGTTCAAAATTGGTAACTTTACCATTAACTACCTTGAACTTCTATACTGTTAAAGAGACCATTTAAAACTTGAAAAACCAGTTTTAAATGTGTACAATATTAAATCTGAGTTTTTAAGCTGAATAAATGAACTATGGCTTATGAATAATTTTATTTTTAGCTGTTTTTAATTTCATATAGAGCCAAAATAATGTGTTTTTGGTGGGATATCAGTGATATTACAATGATATCACATCTCACCAAGTTACAGCTTAATAGAATATACAAAAAAAAATCCACATCACTGAATTAAAATGAATTGTACAATTGCAAATTTTAGACTAATATCTTAAATGCACATGAACAAGGTTTTCAAGGAATGTTGAGGGAAAATATCTATAAGATGTAGTGAGGTAGTCCTTCTGTAGCACTGACCACGCCCATTGGGGGGTGGAGCGATGGGCGGAGGTGACCTGAGGAAGGAGGTCGGAGGGGGCGAGGAAGGCGCTCTCTTTCTGGCGTGACTCGGACAGGAGAGGATCGGGTTGAATCTCCTGGTGTTCATCTGTCTAGGTTGTAAGTTATTTCTCCCTGAATAAACATCTATTCAGCCTATTTGTTTATCCTGATCCTTATTTACCGCAATAATAAGAAATGATAATCTTTGAATTGACAGATGACTTTTTCTATTTGTCAGCTATTTATTTACAATATTCTACCTACTACCAAATAACTTAATGAAGAACTGAAACATCACAAAATACTTATCTGTGATGAAGAGATAAGTACAAAAAATTTTAGCTTGAATATTTGAACATAATTTACTTAGAAATTTGGGAACTGTATCACTTTTCTACTGTGAAAATATTCAGAATTTATCATTATAGAAGTTATGCTAATTACTATATAAATTGTATATCTTAATGGGGAAATGCTTAGATTTAGAAATCTTACATATAATCCTTATTGCAAATTTTATCACTGTCTTGGAATTTTTCTTACAAAACTGAAGATGGCATTTGGTGAGGTAACTCTTAAACTGGGGTGACATGAACACATTTTGTAAGTATAAGGTACTGCATAAATTTGACAACTACATCACAAATATGCTTGTATGCCAAGTTTAAAACTACTTGAAATCCCAGTTTCAAATCACCATAATAACTAAGTTGCCCCACATCTTACAAGCTTTAAATTAGATGCACACCAGAATTTATAATAATAATAATACAAACCACTGTTATTTATTATGGAAAGTGTACCTTGTAGTACCCATCAGACTTTTATTTTTTATGTCGCACAGAAATATTTGGCTTGAGTTTAGAAAGAAAGGACCTCTCTTGTCCATCCGTTCTTAAGGCCTGTTTTTCTTATCAGGTCTTTTTTTTTTTTTTTTTTTTTTTTTTTCTGGAAAGAAGCTTTATCTCAAAGGCATTGATGCTGACTGTCTGATTGCATCACTGTATTATCCTAAATCAATCTGAGAAGCTGTTTGTGTCCATCAGCCAATACAGTATGGATAATAAGCACTTTCCTGTTTCCTGTTCTGTGGAGGGAACGAACAGGAAGGCTAGCTGGGAAGGCGCTTGAAGTGGGAAGAATGAGATCACAGAACAGATAATAAAGTTCAGGATAGAGAAATAACTGGATCTGACAAAGGGGATCTTGCAAACTTCACAAACTTAGATGGGAGTTGTTCCATCTACCTTCAGCTTTGATAGCACTACAGTCTATGAGTTTGTATATTTGTGTCATGAGTGTTTATGCACAGGCATACTGTGTCAGAGACATTACCAGTAAGCCATAGGATACGGGTAAGGTGGCCGTACCTGACTTTGTTTCAGTCACTAATATGGTTGACCTCATTTTAAGTCATACCCTTCCTAAAAAGTTTACATATAATATCTATTATATACACTAAAATAAACATGTGATCTGTGGTACGATGACCACTAGCAGGGCAGTGGTGGGGCACGCCTTTATTCCCAGAACTCAGGAGGATATAGATCTCTGGAGTTCCAGGTATATAGAATAGATCTCTGGAGTTCCAGGTATATAGAATAGATCTCTGGAGTTCCAGGTATATAGAATAGATCTCTGGAGTTCCAGGTATATAGAATAGATCTCTGGAGTTCCAGGTATATAGAATAGATCTCTGGAGTTCCAGGTATATAGAATAGATCTCTGGAGTTCCAGGTATATAGAATAGATCTCTGGAGTTCCAGGTATATAGAATAGATCTCTGGAGTTCCAGGTATATAGAATAGATCTCTGGAGTTCCAGTTATATAGAATAGATCTCTGGAGTTCCAGGCCAGCCAGGGCTACACAGAGAAACCCTGTTTCAAAAAAAAAGAAGAGAAACAAAGTTAGTCTTTGTGGGAGAAATCCTCACTCACCCAGATGTTCAGACCTAGCCCCACTGCGATTGGCTGAGTCTTGAGCAATGTCTTCAGACTTCAGTTTTCTGAACCCTACAGACAATCGAGGCATTTGGTTTCTGTCTGAAAATTCTGTAATTCTAAGGTGTGTCTAGGGAGGAGATAGATGGAGGAATTGTGGTGAATAGCATCAAAATGCATTGTATGTTTTTCTTAATTAATGAAAATATTTTAGAAAAAAATACTAATTGTATGATGTTCAAGTAAGTTTTAAATGTAGATAAATAAGTGTTCTTAATTATACAAATCTGTTAGGTATGAAATATAGGAATACCAAAACAAATTTTATTATATATATATATATATATACATATATATATATATATATATATAATCTTTGATTGGAGAGATAGCTTAGTACTTAAGAATGAATACTGCTTTTGCAAAGAACCTGGTTCAGTTTCCAATACCCATGACAGGCAGCCTGTAACTCCACTTCTAGGGATCTAATGTGCTTTTCTGGACTCCATGGGTAGGTCCCTGTTCTCAAAAATGCATATACCCATATATAGACACACACAGTCACAGGTGATTAAAATGTACTTATGTATACATACACATTTTACACACACACACACACACTCACTCATACTCACAAAAACTAACTGAAAACCCAGATGAAATGCGCAGGGAAAAACCATTGTCCATAGCTAGGATGGATGGGCCCACTAGCACTCACGGAGAGAGACTTCACTGTGACTGTATGAAAGTGTTAGCACACTACAGTCAGTACCGAAAGTGAATTTATGGTAACCTCAGTTCTTCAAAGCAAGTTCTAGGAAACTGGGACTGCTAGAACACCAAACATTTCTTTCTTAAATGGTTTATAATCTTTAAACTTTGCAAAATACTTCTTCATTTCTTCTAAAACCATTTTAAATGATTCTTTGTTGTAGCCTCTCAAAGACATGTAGTAAGTGTTGCAGTCCCCGCCTGCAAGAATCATATACTGAGCTCAGGGAGACAATTGAGTTTGTAGCCAATTCAGTTAGTGTGGTAGATTCTGAAATCCCAGGTTAAAGAAGAAAGTCGCAGGAAAGGTAGCATAAAGCGGGTAAGGGTCCCTGGGACTGCACATCCAGATGCAGCCCTCCTTGCCTTGCCTCCATCCCCATTGCCAAACATCATGTCTTCACAGTGCCGGCACCCCACCCACTGCTCAGTTTGTAGTCCAGCCATACTAAACCAAGGAATTCACTTTTAGTTTTCTATAGAGAATAAAACTACCCAAGGCATGACTATGTAAAGTATATCATGTGCTAGGAGATAAAATATGTTTTTAAAAAGCATTGCTGATATCTGTGTGGGAGCCAAGCTAAAGTGGGAAAGGACTCCCACAAAATACTTAGTTTGGGTATTGTTCATTGAGATATTTCTCCTAATCCCTGATACTGAAATAATAAATAAGGTAACCTTTTTTAAAAAAAAATAAAACTATACCTTTATTAAGGACTGTTTAAATGGAGCTCTGATTTTAACATTTTAGGTGAAACCACAGGTTACAGCTCATATAATTGCTTTAGGATATAATAAGCAAGCTATGCTATATATCAAAATTGTTTGCAAAACTTGGAGATATCTAGTGATAGTAAGTTAACAGTGCACCTGAAAGCTCTAGAACAAAAAGAAGAGATCATGCCCAAAAGAAGATAACAAGAAATACTCAGACTCAGGGCTGGCATCAATAACATAGACATAGCAAGAACAATGTCAAAATCAATATAAGTAATAAATGAAACAAAGAATTGGTTCTTTGAGAAAATTATTAAGATTGACAAGCCAACTTAACTAAAAGGTAAATGGAGATGATCCAAATAACAGAATTAGAGATGAAAAGGGGACATACAGCAGACATTGAGAAAATCCAGAGAATCACAAGGACATATTTAAAACCTATATGCCACTAAATTGGAAATCAAATTGCTTCTGTGCTTTTCTAATGTAATAAGAAACGCCAAATAACAAACAGCACCGTGTCTTTCCTCAGTGTGTGTGTGTGTGTGTGTGTGTGTGTGTGTGTGTGTGTCTTCATTTACTCCACAACACAGTTCTATAGACGTTAAGCGTGAATCATGCGGAGTAAATCATAAATTTTCCAAGACCTTAACCCTGTCTGTCACTCAGGAACTCATCCCGTGAATCTGAGAAGCAGGGGGCTGGCTGGCCATGTGTCATGCAGCCAGTAGCAAGCAGCTCCATCTGACTCAGTGCATTGTCCTGGCCATGCAGACTGCCAGTCCCTAAGGAGGCCACCAGGTTTGAGAGGTCAGGCAGTCTCCTTGTTCAAGAGCCTTGCAGGGACCGTGTTTCTAGCTGATTCTCTGCCAGTAGCATAAAGTCACTTTGCTTTTCCAGGTAACTTGAACAGTACTATTTGGGAAAGCATGGTTTTTGAGACTGAG